TTATGTAAATCAGGCAGTCACACCTTTTCGTTCAGATTCAAATTCTTAGTAAACTTAAAATACAAGTTATGATGAAGATACTCCTTTATCGGCTGTCAGCTGGCAACGTATGTTATGTGGTCGTCTAAAGCGTATTCCTCCTGTCAAAATTCTGAAAATGAGGCATATTGAGAGATCTCCACTTTCGCTTTTAAAGTTAGCTGGTTGTATAGGATACAACACTTGTACATGTCAGAGTCTACGGTCAACGATTATTGAAGGTAAGTGGATAGGAAATCTCAGAACACCCAGTTCGTTTATAACAAACCATTATACTAAATGACTCTATTTTCTATTCTTGAGAGCCTGTTCTGACTCGATTACCGCAGGAGAGAGTGTTAGGTTCACTACAAAGACGAGTTACTAAGCGTTGACAGGTCTTCACCACTACTTGATGCAGCTAGTGTCAAGATATGGAAGAAAGTAATGAATGCTTTATGTGAACCTGGGGATGATATGTTGCAAACCTGACCTAATGTACGGTAGGTACAAATCAGTGTAACTTCTTGTCTCCCGGGATGACTTCTGGTATTTCCAGAAATGGAATTATCAAGTCTCTTCCGGACCATTACGCTTGTCTCGAAACTTGATAGTTGTCATAATTATCGTTTCTTAAGATCACCAACTTATTCTTTCTCGCTTATTATCTCTATTTCCTCTCCCTCGCTCACACGCCTGTTCTCTTGCACATTTCTCACAACTAATTAATTAACATTTTCGTTAATTTATTTACTTAATTCCGAAGTCTCATTGGCACGAGAATTTTCTCCTTCTCATTCTCAACACTGCAACTAACCGATCTCCTGCCTGGCAGTGTAATAACTGCCGGAATGCACAAACCCTATTACCCCGAAAAAAAGGCACTAATGCTAATCATGAGATACACAAATTCATAAATTTTATGCTCTACTCTGGGTATGATTAAACTATTACGAGTTCACCTTAGTCGAATAACGAGAACAAAACAATGAGCGAGCGTCCAGGTACGCTACTGTGATCTGTTGACCAAAATGAATCAACAAGAATTCTTGATATAGTGTATAAATTGTATTCTGCAAACACCCAGCCAGCACACAATGAATCCAAGCACTCAAATTGCGTTTATTTATACTCTATAGAGACATCCTTGTGACAGTTACAAAAGCAGCACACTAAAATGACACAGAAACCAATCACAGGCAAGGATTTTCGTGGTGGGAAATGTGAACTCAAGGTCTGAGAGGATACCTTCGGGAACTGAGATCAGCTTGTGACTGAATTTCTTCTCGTGGTGGGGGGCTGCTGGTAGGTTTAAAGTATCAAGCGGGATGTCAAGAGGAAGATTATCTGCTCTTGATGGACGGTCTGGGGCTAGCCGTTTGTGTATCTGGTTTCGATGGCGTGACCACCTTTCGCCTCCGACCTCCACTTCGTACATAACCCTTCCAACTCTTCTGACCACTCGCGCTTCTACTCGGGGACCATGATTTGTTCTGTAGTCACAGGCGAACACAGGGAATCCCATTTCGTAATAGGATTGCCTTTGCGGCTTTGTCTCTACTGATGTTGGTGCGTTTGTCGGATGCCTCAGGCTGTGGAACGTTTTTAGTCCTCTTCCCATCAGGATTTGTGCTGGGGAACAACAACAACTCATTTGGTGTTGTCCGATAGACGTACAAGAAATTTTGTAACGCGTCGGCTGATGTCCCTGTTACGTCCAAGTTTTGCTCCTTCCCGTTATTGAAGTACAGTATGTCGATCTGTTTGCGATTTACGAACCCAAATTAACAACAGAAACAAAACTCCAAAGTTAGGTACCAAAGTTTATTCGTAATTCACAAATAGTCGACCAAAATGTCGTTCGTCAATTTACAAATAGTCGACCAATGTCGTTCTAACAACAATAATTATAATAACTACAAATACCTTCAATTTTATAGGTTCCTGAAACAAAAACTCCAAATGACCAAACCAGGACAAACAGAAATCAAGATGGTCGAAAATAATCAATCAAACAAGTTCATAAGTTAAGTAAAACAAATATACCCAAAAAACAGTGAAATTAATGATATTTATAAATAGGTTTTAATCAGCCAAATGCCTTCATTTATCCCGTAACATTCCCCTCCCATTTTGACTTAACCAGTGCTCTTTTAAACGTATCCACAAACCTTTCCGCTTGCCCGTTCAATTGCGGTTGGTTTGGTGGCGAGCATACGTATTTAACGGCTAGCCGTTGGCAGAAAGTTTGGAATTGTTTGGAGGTAAATTGAAAGCTATTGTCAGATACGATCACATCTGGTAAGGCATTTCAAGAGAAAATTTCGTTGAGGAGGTATATTCTCTTAGTTGATGTGGGCGGCATTACGCGGTTGATTTCTGGCCATTTTGAGAAGGCGTCGGCCACAATTAAATACATCGTTCCATCAACTGAACCAGCGAGGTCAACATGTATCCTGGACCAAGTATGATCAGGTTTGGGCTATGAAACCGGCTGAATTTCAGCATTCATTTTTGCAGTCTGCTGACACCGCATGCATTTTTCAACCAACGCTGTGACACGTTGATTCATGAGAGGCCAGTATGCATAACTCCTGGCTATAGACTTCATTCGTTAAACCCCTGGATGACCAAGATGGAACTGTCTAAGCACTTTCGCACGAAGGGATTCTGGCACCACTACTCTTTCACCAAACATCAAACAATCGTTCACGATGCATAGTGACTTCCGCCGCTGATACAGTTGCTTCATTTCACCCTCAAACTTCTTCGACAGCCAACCTTTAGTGACATATTTCATCGTCATCCTGATGATGGGGTCGTTTCTAGAAGCATTTTGTATGTATGTTGCAGAAACCGATAATGATCATTAATGAGTCGTGATAAAGCGTCTGCTTGACCGATTTGTCGAGTGAGTCGATAATCGATTTCGAAACCATACCTCAAAATCACCAAGGACCATCGCTGAAGACGATTCGCAGAATGGGCTGGAATGCCAGATTTAGAACTGTATACTGCTAACAGAGGCTTGTGATCTGTGAGGAGCGTGAATCTCCGACCTTACAGATACTTGTGGAAACGGTGAACAGAAAATACAAGAGGAAGAGCCTCTTTCTCTATCTGGCTCTACTTCTTTTCTGCTGGGGTTAGTGTACGGGATGTATGCATAACGGCTTTTCTGACGCGTCTGGAATCTGATGTGAAATAACAGCACCTAGGCCATATGCTGAAGCGTCTGCTGCTACGATGATTGGCATGGATGGATAGTAGTGTGTTAATAACAATTCCAAGCTAATTAAGGATTTTCCTGGTGGGAAATGTGAACTGAAGGTCAACTGGTCGGTCCATGAAATAAATCCAAAATAAAGATATTTATCAAGCGAGTTCTGGGGTTTTAACATCCCCGACAATAAATAACTGTCATCTAAATAGAATTTGTGCGATCAAGTGACTAGACTACCATCCATCTGACATCACCGAATACCTTGTGCAGTACCCAAAGAACATGTAGAGCACTCAAAGAAATTAACTGGTTTATACTAGAATCTGAAAAAGATGATGGATACTGGCTTCACTGATCTACTCCTATCTTAGCTCAGAAATTAACTTGAGAATAGAGAATTTCATACTAAGATAAGTAGAATGCACGTGAGTTGGCGAGTCTCAACGTTGACAGTTTCACAGGAGACCATCTTGGGTCCACTTCTTTTGATGACACTTATTAAAGACCAATTAGACAGAGTTAGCTCGCCGGTACTGATCAACGCAGACGATGCAAAGATCTGGAGGTCCATTAGAAGCGAAGAATATTCGACTGAGCTTCAAAAGGACCTTACATTCATTGATGAATGGGCAGTGAAAAACGGTTTAAAACTAAGCCAGCAGAAATGTCACGTCATGTACATTCTGCCCCGCGTGACTCAAACCACTTACGCCCTCAAAGGAAGTCCGCTACGTGATGTCTATCTAGAGCGCGATCTCGCTTTAGTAAATACAGAAAGCCTCCACACCAGCTCGCACTATGTAGGGGACTCAGCCTAGGCAAACGTGACTCTTCACTCTATCCGAAGACAACTTGATACTATCACCTCACAATTATCGCTAACGTTACTTAAGACAAATGTACGCCCACGCATGGAGGTTCACAACGTCATCGCACCCCTTTGAAGAATAAACCTTACGAAGATAGACTCCAGCACTTTGGATTATTCCCTCTGAGTCACAGGCGAATTAGAGGTGACTTGATTATGGCGTAAAATGTATTAAGCATGCCAAACTATCACAACTTGAGCATTTTACCGATGCTTCATCACCACTCCCGTCGAGGGAATCCTCAAAAAATTGCGCATCAAAGAGCGAGCACTCAAGTTCGTGAACACTTTTTCTCATTACGAGTCGTTGCAACTTGGAATGCTCTTCCAGCCGAGGTGACCACAACCCCTTCAGTGGACAGCTTTAAGAAGAAACTTCATAAAAAGCTACACGGATTATAATCTCCCTCTTGGACAAGCTGAACCTGACGCATGCCTTAAAAATTGCTAGTTATTACTGCCATCTACTCAGATCACTAACTTATTCTATCTCGCCTATTATCTCTGTTTCCTCTCCGTTGCTTACACTGCGGTCCACTCTCACAATCTTCACTACCATTTAATAAACTAAATTATCCTTTATTTACTGAGTCCTGAAATCTTACTCTTTTTGGCATTAAAATTTCCTTATTATTCTCCATATTACGGCCAAATGATTTCTGGTCTGGTAATGTGATAGCTGCCGGTATCCAGAAACCCTACTACCCTGAAACAAACGTTTCCATTCAAATCACGTGACAACCAGACTAACAAACAACTGACAAGCTGATAGAATTAGTGCAGTCGAGTGGCCAGACTCTACCAAACACCTGGAACCGTACCGAAAGAACGAGAATTGAGCTGAAAGAAATTAATAGGTTTAAACTGGCTCGTAAAAAACACATTGGGTATTGGATATTGAAAGCGCATGAAATGAAATATTGGAGCAGCTGATAGGTCGCCTACTTCTCGAGTTCCATGGGTGTATGAGTTGTTTCATGTCTTTTCCATGGAATGTCTGACCATTGTTCACCGAGGCCCCATGATAATAGGTTGTCTGAAAATTCCAGTCAGAGGTCTTCCGAGGGACAAGCAACTTCACACTCAAACACACCTCCGAAGCCAATAGCGTTATGTCCACTCGGTCGACCGATTCACAACCTTTCGTTACTAAGAGGAAACAGTATCCAAATTGGTTACGATCTAAAAAGCCCTTCACACAAGTGGGCTGCCAGCGATCGCTTGCGCCTCATCCATTTTCTACAAGATATTCAGCTTGACCGAGCTCTGGATGTATTGCCGGATAACTATACCTATGAAGATCTGCTTAAATGTTCACTAGATGAGCTCCGTTCCGTGTTTCTTGGATGCCTCACAGAGTCCGAAATAAGCTCCATTTATTCAGATTTACATTCCTACTCATCCAGTAGATATGCAACAGAGCCGTATTCACGTTTTGAGGAATGCCAACCTAGACGGGTAAGGCCTTAGATCATACATTTACTTTGATGCCTAAGTTTAAATTCGTTCAGCAGTTTATTGCCGTTTCTAAGTATTAGTCTAATGTGTTCATTGAAATCCACCTAAGTCTATATTTGTAGTAATATCACTACAGATCAGGGATGTCATTAAAAGTAAAAAACAGGATATAAAATAGTGTAGATTTGATAAAATCCTATACAACATTTAGGATCACAACGATTTTATTTGTACTTAAGTTCTGTTTTGTTTTTCAACGTATACCAACTCAGTATCATCAGTTAGGATAGATGGTTCAATAGCAAATGTACTATGTACTAGCTACCATAACTAAACAAACCCTAAAGACGACTAACACGTCGTCTTATTGGTTATTATCTGAGAGTTTCAAAGCCAACTGGCAATCCCTTTTTTCTGTCTCGCTCATACGATAAAGTGCACTTATACACGATAACCAGTCGTTAGTGGACATTTAAAAGTATAACTTGCCAAACTTTTCGCTAATTGATGTCGGTGGACTATTTATGACATACTCTGATAACATTTACAACGATCTCAAAATACTGGCCCTGATTGTTACTGTTGCCTTATTTTTAGTGGAATGGTTCTGTATATGATTAGCTTGAGTATTGTTTTCAGTGGTTTCTTGGCCTATCAGTAGTAATTTCTTTGCCTAAATAAACTGTTATTTTCTCCTCACTTTAGTATTCCGAAACTTGTCCATCTGATCAGGACAGACAGTTGCCTACAAGTGCTCATCACCGTTCTCGACCTCTTTTGGGTTCATTTTCATGCGCTTCTTCGGAACCCCACTCAGATTTTACAGAAACCAAGTTACATTCACCATGTTTGGCAACTTCGGAAGGAAAAACGTCTGGTAATGAATGCAGTGTATCAAAAACGAATATAGAACAACTGTCTAAAACTGTAAAGCGTGCATCATCTTTTGGCTCAAGTGATATCCATCAAATCTTATCGAACTACAGCTCCTTTTCCCTGTCCACCTCATCGGCTTTAACTGACAGTCACTCACTGTCCTTACAGGAAGGTGGTAATACGAAGTGTACTAGATTTTCAGGACCATGTTCTACCTATACTCGCCTATCGAGTTCGGAGCTTTGGAAAGATTCTCAGTCACGAAGTATCTGTGATGACCAGTCTAAAGTCAAACCAACAGCGAATTCCGTAGTACCAGTTTCTTCTAAGATTCAAAAACAACAAGCAGATGCGAACGCATGTTCTATATCTTCAAGTGTATCATATTCGATTCCATTTTATCAGCATGTCAGTAGTGCAGTACAAATGTCTCCATACTTTTCAAGTCGCTTGTCAAGTTATGATGGTTAGTTTTATTGAATATACTACTGTTTCTAGTCTTATAATGACCTAAACGTTCCAATTGAAATTCACCTATAGATTAAAGCAGATTTTCCCATCCATTTAGTGGCTATCCGTAAGTGTATGGTAGCATCCCAGTGCCATGCTATTTGACAGGTAGCTTGGCATGTTGCTTATACACTGCCTTCAAAAAACCAGTGTGTGTGTGTAACACAGCTCATTTCAAATGTCTTGTTCTGCCCTTATTTACCTTCAATATTCTCTATGAATCAGTCTTCAAATGTTCCCCTTTATAAACATTACTTTTAGTTTTGTGATATACTGACTAATTGGTGTATTTTTTTTTAAGGACACTCTATCCCAGGTACTTTACTACGAATAAAAGGTAGTTTTATTGGCCAGTCTGCACCGAACTTGCTGAATTATACGGTAAGCTTTCCGTTCATCTATTTGTGTGAGAACTAATTTTCATAAAATTAATGTAATGTGATTACTTTCTTCGGCACCTGAACTAGTTTTAGGAATTGAAGTAGTCAAGCGTGTTGGTCGCTTTACTTATTCAAGAAGTCTCATCAGTGTTGATGATCTGGTGTGTGACGAAATCTCGACACGCATACAGAAGGTTCGACTGGATTTTTTCAACTTGCTTCACTTATGGCGAAGGTGTGATGTCCGTCTGCTAACCGAATGATAGATATACTTCACAGCAGTTCGCTTCGTCCTAAAACATGGTCACTACAGGATATTTTGTAGGTTACTGGTATTAGATCACAGGTATCTCTTAAGCATAATACTGATTGGGTTATAGAACAGAAGTATACAGAGTAAATTTGTGACAAGATAGAAAGTTGGAGCATTATAAGCATTATAGCTCATTTTCATCGAAGGCGATTTTATCATGTTTTTCCCATGTTAATCTATATAACGCGAACTTGGGAAAGAATCGTCCACCCACTCTTGACTTTAGTTCATTTTAAACTAACGCACAGATCCACTTCAGTTAGTTATATTATTAGAGACAAAGGTTATTTAAATTTATCACAGGAGCAAGATGTACGAAATTTCTTATTTTTGCTTTTTAGCGTGATCGCAATTATAATGAATTTGTACACTGCAGAGATTCTTATCGAAATCTCTCGTCAGCTTATACACCACCTGCAAACCTAAAAAATCCTGAATCACTAGTCAATTCAAAAGCTCCTGGTAGCCCCGAATGTGAAGCAACTGTTAGACAGCCCAAAGTTTCTACCGATCCATCACCACTTGGATCCACCTCGGGAGTCCTTAAGGATATCAATGAGACTGCCCGAACTCTTACATCACTCTCTCTTCATGCTCACCGTCGTAGCATGTTAGTGAGCGGCTTGGGTAGCCTCAGTGGTAGTAGTGGTTGCATGGCCGATCGAAGTATGTCCAGTCCTGCTCCTTCAAATGAACCTGATAGTCCAGTTTTTTCCGCTGCTTCTCTTGCTCATAATGATATGGCATACTTTTTATCGCCGAAGAGCAGTATTGTTACATATGAGCCACTACAGCTGAATCGATCGTCTGATCTCCCTGGTGAAAATTTACAGACGGAAACACCGTGTACTTTCCAAAGTATTAGTCAGCAAGATAAAACTGCATCACAGCTAATAAACCCACAAACAAACTTCAAAGCCTTCACAAGTAAAAATACTGGTAAATAACCACTTTTTATTTGATTATGTCATTTTTATGTGATTATTTATTGGTATCGGACTTTATCAAATACAATCTCCATTATTAATAATTATATTGTAATCGTAATTTTAATATGCCTATCTAGTATGCATTTAGTTAGTGTGCTATAGCAACACAATTGAAGAAGCGTGTGTATAACTTTGCGATCGATTATGTCTGAAATTATTTTTAATGTTACGAGTTTGTGATTGAAAACAAAGATTTTCATTCTAGTGGCTAGATTCTTTGGTTTGTTTTCTCATGTTGCTTATATATATATATATATGTATATATATATATATATATATATATATATATATATATATATATATATATATGGTGAATATATTTTAACAAAGATTGATGCTTGCATCATTTCGCCGTTTGATTTGCGAATTCTTACCACTTTCTAAACTAATTACGAAATGATCATCTTCATGTCACTTCCAGCTAAATTCCGTTTACCTATTGGAGATTAAAAGTAGTTATCCTATAAACATAATATGCGAAGTGATAAAGTCCTCAGTCAGCTTTTAAAATGCTTGTGTTTTCTTACTGCATTCATTTACATCTGGAGATATAATATAAAATGATTCAATAGAGGCACTTAAATTGTTCCTTTGAATTTAGAGCGCTGAATAATAACTAATGTGTCATTACTGATATTTGTGGGTCAAGTAGTTGGTAGACTCACGTATACAATTCTATTAATCTCAGCATTGGAGTGAAACTCATTTCAGTTCTTATTAGTACATTCCTCTACTTCTAAGAGTCGAAAATTGTTCGAATCCGCAAACATCTAAGGGTAAATAATCCTGTAAAGATGTATCACTACAATAAATTGAATGTTATTCCCCCGCATTTCAGATACTCTTTCTATTCGGGAGTCTGGTGATGCATCTTTATTTACTGAGAAACGTAGTTTCATTCCACGCCTGCGCTTAGGAAATAAACAGTGAGTTTAATCAATGTCGAATAGTTTTACATATTATAAACCGTTTTTAAGACATTCTCAAAATGTCGTACCTTTCTTTACACTATCCCAATGTCAGCAGTTAATTCACGCTGTGGGAACCACTGAGATAACATTTTTAAGTCATGCCTTACACACCAAGGTCAGTGTTTTATGATGACGGCTCACTGAACTATCGTCTCTAACCGAACGCATTGCCAAACATCGACGTTACTAACATGATTTTATTTCTCGATGTCATCGATACATTGGATACAGTGATGATTGACCATAGTCGCCGAACATTCTTAAATCAGAGCGACTAAGTTTCACAAACGTAGAGGAAGCACTCTAACCGACGCATCATAACCCCGATCTGTCACAGCTAGACGGTGGATCCAAAGATGACCTAGATGGACATATACTTACTTACGCCTGTCACCCTCAATGGAGCATAGGGCGCCGGCCGGTATTATACAACCTAATCTGTCATGGGCTTCCCTTTCCAGTCCTGTCCGATTTTTGTCCATTCTCATATCTTTCTCTATTTCTCAGCGTAAGCTGTTGTTTGGCCTTCCTATTCTCGTTTTACCTTGAGGGTTCCAAGTGACGGCTTGTCCTGTGATGCAGTTGGGTGCTTTTCGCAGTGTATGTCCTATCCACTTCCACCGCTTCTTCCTTATTTCCTCCTGGAATCGGGTTTGTTCTCTCCCACAGTAGATTGTTGCTGATGGTGTCTGGCCAACGAATCCGAAGTATTTTGCGTAGACAGCTGTTAATGAATACTTGGATGATGGTCTTTTTAGTTCGCAAAGTTTCGCCCCATACAGTAGAACCGTCTTGACATTTTTATTGAAAATCCTGATTTCGGTGTTGATTGACATTTAGTTGGAGTTCCAGTTGTTTTTAAATTGTAGAAATGCAACCCTTGCTTTACCGATCCGTGCCCCCCTGGTCGTCTTCTCTTGCATTTGTAGTTGCGTGTGCGACAGAAGAGCCAGATCATCTGCGAAGTCCAAATCATCCAACTGCATCCTGGATGTCCATTGGGTGCCATGCTTTCCTCCAGATGCTGACGTCTTCATAATCCAGTGGACCACCGGGAGAAAGAAAGGGTGAGAGTGAGCAACCTTACCTGACACCGGTCTTCATCTCGAACGAGTCTGTCAGCCGTCCTCCGTGCACGATTTCGCAGTTAACTCCGTTACAAGAATTCCGTATGATGTTGACTTACTTCTCAGGCGTGCCGTATTGTCGAAAGAAGACTCCAGTGTTTTCCTGTCAAATGCTTTCTCGTAGTCAATGAAGTTGATGTAGAGTGATGAGTTCCTTTCAGTTGATTGTTCTACAATGATCCGTAATGTTTCACTTTGGTCGGCACCCGATCGATCCTTACGGAATCCAGCCTGTTGTTCTCGAAGTTGAGCGTCTAAGAAGTCTTTCATTTTGTTTAACAACACCCTGTTGAAAACTTTTCCTGGTATTGAGAGAAGAATGATGCCTCTTTAGTTCTCACACTCGCTGAGATCGCCCTTTGATATTTTGATGAGGTATCCTTCTTCCAGTCTGTTGGTACTTGTTCTTCATCCCAAATCTTTTTTAAGAGAATGTGGAATATTTTTGTAGTTGTTGCCACGTCTGCTTTTATTGCCTCTGCCCCCTCGAAATGCAAAATGTTGCTTCAAGACTGGGTCGCATCGGCATCTGAACTAGTGATATGAAGTGAAGTAGTCGAGCGTGTTGACCGCTTCACTTATCTGGGGAGTCTCATCAGCGCTGATGGCCTGATATGTGACGAAATCTCAGCACGGATACAGAAGGCTCAACTGGCTTTTGCCAACTTGCCTCATTTATGTCGTAGGCGAGATATCCGTCTGCTAACCAAAGGACGAGTGTACTGTGCAGCAGTTCGCTCCGTTCTCCTATATGGATGCGAAACATGGCCGTTCGTAGGTTACTAGTATTCGATCACAGATGTCTTAGAAGCATTGCTCGTATATCGTGGGACAACTGAGTAAGCAATGCTGTCTTTAGGAAATGAGTACTAGGTAAGGATGGCAGATCAATAGACGAAGTAGTCAACCTTCATCAGTTGAGATGGTTGGGACATGTATTACGTATGTCTAACCACCGACTGCCTCGACGAGCTATGTTTTGTGGTGTAGGAGTAGGTTGGAAGAAAGTTAGGGGTGGCCAAACCAAAACATGACAGAAATCCATGAAGTCACTAACTAGTGGACTGAGTCATGTTGGTAGATGTAGACTACCTGGTTGGGGTCCGCGAGACGAAAGTCACTAATAGTTAGAGACCTTGAACGACATGGCTCAAAATTGGCTGCAATGGCGCAAGTGCATCCATTCTTTGAGCTCTCTCAAGAACCAGTGCAATTTTTCTTCGTGTATCTGGAGACTACAGCTACTTTCCGTGGCCTCTCTGCTGTACGTATAGCATTAAGTTCAGAAACAGAAGCGGCTTTCCTCGAATGGATTCTGACAGACAGTCGCTTGTGTACTGTCCAACTAAAAGGGTCAATAATAGCTTGAATAATCGCTGCCTCAAAAAGCTAAACGCTCCAATGAAGAAATAGTGCCTGTTGATTATGCTGCACAAGTAGTAGAGCAAACGAAACCGAAAGGTTTTAAGTGGATCCTACGGTAACGCAACTCAGCGGATAGGTGACCGTCTGCTTCAGCTATGCTTACATAACCGCGTATTTCTTGCAACTGCCAACTTTATGCATAAAGTAAAACATCTTTTCACATGGCGTCCTCCACAATCGATTCGACGCTGGATTCAATTAGTCCACACTGCCATCAGTCATCATTAAAGAGGCTCGATAGAAGACTGCCACTCATCACGTAGCGCAGATTTAGACCTTGATCACGCTCTAGTGCTAGCACGTTTTTGTCTGCGTCTCACTGGAAGCAAAAAAGTTAGAGTAAAGAAACTTCGTTGAGTTCGACTTAATGACAAAAAAGCGAAGAACACATTTCAGGAAAAACTAAAAGATCAGTTATTCAACTATGTAAGTGATACTCATCCTGAGATGCTCAAAATGACATCCAAAGTGCTGTGAAAGCCAGTAACTTAAACCATATGGTTAAGAAAAGTCAGTGAATTTCTGTGGCATCTAGTGAACTGCTAGATATGAAGAATCTTTTACAAATAAAATATTCGAAGCCGTGAATCTGCTAAAGGACTGTCGTTTTTTGTATCCGATGCTCTTATAGGCAAGTGTCAGTTTTTATGGTGATACTGTAAAAATGTTCGATTGCAAAATCTGAATGCGTGAATTCTGAGTTTTTAAAAAGTATGACAGTTTTCAAAAATCATAAAAAGAGGAGACTTACCGATAGATAATTAAAAGTAGTTACATTTCATTTAGCATTTTTAAAATTTTATTTTAGTAATCTGGATTGTCGTCGTTGGTCATTAGCCTCATTACCTTCGTCTGGTTATGGTACAAATACTTCAGAGAGTGGCAGTCATTTATCTGTACGTTATTTGTTTTATGCATAGCTTTTTCTGTAATAATCTTCTTAATTCAGTGATTGTTAGGAAAGAGATTCAAGATTAAACTTCAGTTAATTTCGAATTCCGTTTATACAGATTTCTTTAATTGTTGACTTGAATGATTCTCTTATGAGTTGATGTTCATACCTAACTTCATAGGAAGCACTCCCTAACCAGAATCCATGCTTACATCGGATTCGGCATATTTAAATTCTGACACTCGGGTATTTAATCACTCCACCTGTATGATAAGTGCAACTTTCGACGCACACCAGTGCCCAATTTTTAATTAATAATCAAAGTTGTTTAGATACTTTAGTTGCATGAAATTATAAATCATCGTCGAACCGCATTTCACTAAATGATTTTATCATCTTGAAATACTTGTTTGGATTCACAAACATTTCGCTTTGATTGCCTAGCGTCCTAAGTAATTATCTTTTAAGAAGTATGTTGTTACTACCTATGTTATTTTACGTTTTAAAGACTTAACATGTAACTTGCAGATATTTGTCTAAGATTCTGGAGACTTATTTTTCTGTATAACAGTACATTTGTTGTAAGTAGTTTTTTCACTACAAAACGTATGAAACATAGTAGTTACTGCGTCATTTTTATAGGGGTATTAGCTATCGAAAAGGAGTCGTCGTATCGAAGTTGTTTGCAAGTAAAAATTCCGTTGATTAAAGTTGTTCAATCTCATCACCAATTATTTCAAAAGCCATTTTTTAGATTTCTATCGTCCTTTCCTTTCAAAAAGTGGATAAATTTATGCGAAAAACTGGTAGTTGTTTTGTTCCGATTGGTACTGTTTTCATTTGACCTATTATTACTCAAATACAAATCATTTCAGCTAGCAAGTAGTGTAGTTCATTCTGTTTTGTCTTTTATTTCGTTTATATTTCGCCTAGTTCATTACTCACACTAATATTTTGTGTTGTTATCATACAGCGTAGTCGATGTTCATCAAAAGAAAATGTTTCTCATGGTCTTCATCTTCAAACTAACACACAGTATGCAAACGATCGTATAATTTCTGCTCGCTCAAAATATCAAGCATCCACACAAACCCCAAACAAATCCTTACCAATCGAACGTTCTTATTCTATGAGATCACCCTCCATACCTGTTTATTCACAGTTGCCAAATTCGACATCCCCTTTATCATTCACTTCATCTGTTGGTCAAAATGCAATTTCACCAAATTTATGTTTCACATCACGTTCACTAAAGGAATCGTGTACCACAGAGACGGGGAATGATATTTTACCTCCTAATGTTTTACCTTCCTTGTTCACTTCAAGTTATAGTGTAGATTCTAAAAGCGTACCACACACACCTGTTACTCGGGCATCACCTAGAATTACTCATAGTTCTGTCAGTGTTGTTCAAACATGCTACAACTCTAGCTTTGACGGTTGTCGTACCCGTTCACGAAGTTTGAGGTAATTAATATTTTGATCTTTTTTCTAAATACTAGCATCTAACTTTTTATTAAAGGTTTTAGTGCAGTTAAGTTTCGTTAACGTAGTCCCTCCATTCTCGACCATAGGTGTAATAAAGTCCGACGTTTCCCCAAAATGTCATGCTCAGTTAGCTGCAAAAAACCTAGTCCACTTCCCACATCTCTACTTTAACAGGACGCTGATTTTTGCAGTATGAGTAGATGAAAAATAATAGTCTTTCCGAAATCTATAATAGCAGAATAATGCACCCCTATGAACAAGATTAATCTTATTGATTTAAAGGTAATTTTTATTAAACATTACTATCAGGTTCAATGTTTTTTAATTTTCACAAACAAGCTGGTCTAATTATATCAAATACATTTAATTATTATCGTTTCACTACTCACTTTATTCTCGTACAAAATACTGTATTTTATGCACTTGTTTGTCACAGCTCATTCGTATTCCCATCCATTATTCGACCTTTAAGATTATTGGAAATTCCCTCAATTTTAATGAAAGCAGCACTTATGATTCGATTTGTGTTCATCCTCATCGTATTCATTTTGTCTCTTAGATAGTGTTTTCTTTTGAGACAAACAGAATATTGTTTGGATTCAACTTAGTGATTGGTTATCACGTTCAAATAAATTTATTGATTCCAACCGTTCAGTGATTTGGGATTATGGTAGAAATTGAAATCTCTATTTAAATGAACAGTTTGATAGAAATGAGAATAATTTCAGCGATTGAAATTTTAAATAATTCCAACATCTCAAAGTAACACTTCATTTTTTCTCGCACTTATGTTGTGATATTAAATGATTATTTTATTCTTTCCACAAAAAATAGTCCATTACGTGTTTCAAATGTTGGTGGTGAACAGGATATACTGTTGTTAAATCATGTTTATCGAGAGCGCTTCCCAAAGGTTAGTTTTCATAAATATAAATGACGTTTTAAAACTATCGTAATAACTTGCAATATTAATTCTAAATTGACCGAGTTAAAATCCCTGTGAAATAAATGCAGTTATTACTATTTAGTTCAACAATAGTTTCAGTTGACCAATGCGATACACAATAAATAAAACTTCATTATTACTTTGACAAGAATATCGTTTTATGAAAAAAATCGTCAATAAACAGCTTAGAACCAAAATATTTTGTCATTATTAATCTGTTAATTAGCTAGTAAAATTAATTATTTCAACTATCTTTTTTTAATCTAAGTTTAGTAACCTAATATGATTTCATGTTTTTCCTAGTTGTGTTAAGCATGTATTTTGCACATGATCCAACTTTATTTCACGTTCATTCAAACTAATTAATATGAAACAATCATTTAATTCTTCATTTTAATCGATCAATTCTAAATGATCTCTGAATGAAAATTTTCAATTAGTTTAGTTTTCTACTTACATGGGATCTATACTTTTCCCAATCAAATTAATTGTTAACTTCATATCGGTCATTCTGAAATTAATCTATAAAATTGTTACACTAATCACAAAAGTACATTTCCTCTGAGTATTGCTTGTTTTTCATACTTTTTTACTTCCTGTGAATATTTTCTCGTCCTTCTAATCCTGTCTTTATTTCCGATTATCTGATTGTTCATATACATATATTTTTGTGTAATCGAAGGTAAGGAATAGAATATTTTTATTGATTCACAGGAAAATAATCAGCATGGTTTAATTTTCGATTACCTTTCGAACATATGTCCACGTTCCAATCATAATAAAAATAACATTCAAAACAAGACCAATACACCATTTCATTGTTGATCAATAATTAATACACTATTGAACATGTGCATTTTTAAAGCTTCACTGTATATTGCTATTTTTTGACAAGGTTATCGACAGTTGTATGATATTACAGCATGAAGTTATAAGTACTCTTTTCGTAATCAAAATGGTGTAGCAACAACATTACATAACTTGGGCAGCAAATCTTATGTGGTTAAATGTCAGATAATTAAATAGTCTATGGACTGATTTCATATCATAGTGTGATAACTATTATTACGTTAGGTGATACAAAATAATTCGGTAAAAACTCTAATCTATATGTTGTTCACAACATCACTAATCTGTTTTTTTGTATCTAACCTTCGTTTGCATCTTATTACTAATTATATCTTTATATGATGTGAACACATGATTCTCAGCTGCTAGATCTCATGTTCGAATTCTATATCTAATTTACTTGGAAAGATTAAAAGCAGCAACTCAAGGTCTGAGGGCGAAGTCGTACTGCTGACTTTAGAGGGATGTGACAGCAGTAAGGTGTTCCCTCGGACAACCAGCATTTGCAGCGATGCTGCCTTCACACAAGGAAGGAAAGGTTAGAAAATGTCGACCGTAAAAACGTCACGCCTTACCTTACCTTACTGATTTTTGTCTCCGCCAGTACGGTCATTCTAAGAACGAAGCTAACACTTTGAAACCTCATAAAAAGGCCGTGCATGACCGGTTTGAAACAGTTGTCTCTTGAACTCTGCAGTAACACTCACAGGTCTATAAGACCAACACTAATCTAACTTCCTTTTCAGATTCCTCAAGAAGCAGCATTTCACGGTGTGGGTAGCCGGGAAGTGATATCCGCCCTTATACCCGTAGCAATACACAAAACCGAATTGGTCTAAATCAAATCCTTCTCACACCTAGTTACTCGCTCAGCTCAACAAGTAATCTTTATCATATTCCTTTATCACCTGACGCCGCCGATACAAACTATTTGAGTACACGAAACTTTATTCCTGTTCTCCTGAAACCACGCTCCAAACTACATGTTGGAGCTTTAAATGCCCGGACGTTGTGTCAAATAGGACAACAGACCTCCGTAGCTGAAACTTTAGAATGTTGCTCCATCTCCGAAACGTGCATACAGGATCCAAGTACAATGATTAATTTGACTTCCCCTTGTCCAAATAAGGAAATAACTCGGTTTACGCTCCGTATATCGTATTCAACCATAAATGGTTTCGAATAAATACTCGTATATCCGAGTAACGCTGAGCAAGCAGTGCTATTGTTAGGAAAAGGGTACTAGATAAGGACGGCAAATCGGTTGATGAAGTAATGCATCTTCATCAGTTGGGGTGATTGAGACATGTGTTACTTATGCCTAACTACCGACGACCTCGACGAGCAATATAGTCTGGGACAAAACCAGGAGCAGTCAAACCAAATCATGACACAAATCCATGAAGTCTCTGGCGACTGAATTGAACCATGTTATTGGTTTAGACTGCCTGGTTCGGCTCCGCGTGACAATTGTAACCGATGGTTAGAGACTTCGAATGACATGGTTCCAAATCGTTTGCAATCGCATAGATGCATCTAGTCTTTTACTTCTCTTAAATTCTAATCTTCTGGTTTCCTCATCAGCTTTATATTTCTGCTTTTCAGTTTATTTCACTGGATTATACTTTATGAATAATATCTTTATAGCCTAATTTTCTCCACTACCGCTAATACGTCTACTACATCTACCATAATGGGATTAGGACTGACAGTTCGATCTTTGTGTGCTGATGGGATATGGAAACTTGAACTGATGTAGGTACGTACGAAGTTCTGAGTTGCAGTTGACTGACTAACCTACTTGGAGAGAAACTGAAGTTCTGCTAGCCTACATCATTTGTTCATACACTAAAGTTTAAACCTATTGTTAGTTCACCACATTGTCTGTGATGTTCTTCTTTTGATATAATTTTGTTTTCCAGGCATCCGCTCACATGCAAGAACAGTTGGCTTCTCTGGCTGATGAAATGGAACATATGGATACAGTATCTTGGTCTGCAGTAGCAAGATTTGTCCATTGTCAAGTAGTCCAACATGCTCGAGATTGTTTGCAAAAGGCTCTTTCAGGTCTTGTAACTTGTCGTTATTTTTATGAAATGACTGAAAATTTGAGCAAACTTGTCGAAGATGTAAGTGATTATCAGTAAATTCCATTTATTTATAATTACTTGTATCAGTTAATTACTGATATCAAGGCTTTATCTGTTTTTCATTCGAATTTATATTTAACACGATTAGAAAGATTTTCACCACCCCCCAACTTATTATATTTGACTGTTGAGTAACTCCTTATTTGCTTTCGATTTCTTGCCAGACTCGTACTCGTGACGCGGATTCTATTCCACTTGTCGTTACATTTATCCGCCGACTACTTTTGATTATTGCTCGGCCTGCCCGATTGCTTGAATGTTTGGAGTTCGATCCGTCTGAATTTTATCAGATGTTAGAAGCTGCTGAAAGTCATGTACGTCATCAAACGAACTCCGTTAATGTACCGGGTTCTCAGATCATATCAGCTGACGTCCCTCTGTACATTATTTCAAAACTCGGTCTCAGTAAAACTGTCTTGGATGGTAAGTAATCTTCTGTTTAACAGGTTAATATTTGAAGTTCGAAATCTGCCTTGATGTTTGTTTATTTTCAAATGTTAAGTTCCAGTAGACCTTATGTTAAACGGCACCTAATCGTGTTTATGATATATTTTTGTGTATAAGGTGTTTAGTTATATCGAAAAAATCAGAGTAGTGCGTTTGTTTTTCAATTGAGAACTGTTAATAAATACAACAAATTAGCATATTCTATTTCCTTAACAATTATCACTATTCCACATATTTATATTCCCCATCACTAACCAATAAGCGATGTATTCATCATTTTCACTGTATAATCATGCTTATTATGGGTTGAACTTGCACATCATTCCACCGTATGCTTTTTCTTTGGCTCCACCTTTACATGACAGGGAAGTATGGTTTCTTTATTTTATGAATTTTTTTAATTTGATATCTTTATTGAAACGGTAAGAGAGGAGGAAACTATTAAAACGTTAGAATTAATGTAACCATTTTGTTTAACTTCATTTTTACTAAATTCTGGACAACATATTAACAGCCCAGTAGTATATAGGCTAAAGTAGTTTTGATTAAAGTTAGCCTATCTGACACCTTTCTGTATTTAGATAATGTAATCTGTTCTGTGTTCAAATAATTATATACAGCGTATAAAATTAAATTAACATGGTAGAATCATAAACTGGAAAACTGATGATCATCATCATAAAGCTTTCACCTTTTAAGATATGTTGACATTACATTCTCAGTAAAACGATTTCGGACTCATTTATTTCAATAAGTAAACAGTTAACAATTAATTTTCACTGTTACTACAGGCAGACTTTATCAGTACTGTCGACAATGTATTATGTTTGGGGAAGATCAAATAGATTTATTTACATTCTTCATTTCATACATTTTAAAATCTACAATATAGCATTAACAACTATTATTTCGATGATTAGTTTACACGTTTACTCAATTTATGAGTGAAACTTTTATTGTCATCATTCTATTGTATTTACTGTTTAGTTTGTACCTTTTTACTTTAAAAGTCATTAATGTTATAATCTTCACTTTCATTTTACAGAGTCACAGAACATCAAGACTCCTTATCTGTGTAGTACTACTTTAAATGGTTCACATCATTCAGAAAAATTTAAATCCGATTCTACCATAGGAATTAGAACAACTAGTGGATCTAACCTGAATACATGTGCGCATAATGATGATGAAATTATTTCACGAACAGCGCGTAGCAATAGTAGTTGTGTTCCGATCCGTCCACCTTGTGAAGCTGACTTCGAAGTGATTAAGCTTATATCTAATGGCGCTTATGGGTAAGTATCACCCATCTTCATCATTCTTCTATCTGTCTGATTTTAAAATTTGTTGTATATATTTTAATGGGACATCAACTTCTATGTTTCTTTTGATATTCGAGTTTGAAGAAAACTGTAATTATTTCAGCTCAAACTACTTACCATAGGAAATGATTTTTGTCAGTCAGTTGCAACGAAAGAACTTCGTACGTATGTACATAAGTTCATGTTGCCATACCACATTGGCACAGAGGTAATGAAGAAGACTAGGGTTCGAAGATATTATTCAAGAAGTATAATTCAGTGAGATAAGGTTAGAAAGACAAAGGTAGATGTGCTGACGAATCCAGAAGATTAGGATTTGAGAGAGCTCAAAGAATGGATGCACTTGCGCCACTGCAGCCAATTTTGAGCCATGTCGTTCAAGGTCTCTAACTATTAGTGACTTTCGTCTCGCGGACCCCAACCAGGTAGTCTACATCTACCAACATGACTCAGTCCACTAGTTAGTGACTTCATGGATTTCTGTCATGTTTTGGTCTGGCCGCCCCTAACTTTCTTCCAACCTACTCCTACACAACAAAACATAGCTCGTCGAGGCAGTCGGTGGTTAGACATACGTAATACATGTCCCAACCATCTCAACTGATGAAGGTTGACTAATTCGTCTATTGATCTGCCATCCTTACCTAGTACTCATTTCCTAAAGACAGCATTGCTTACTCAGTTGTCCCACGATATACGAGCAATGCTTCTAAGACATCTGTGATCGAATACTAGTAACCTACGTTTCGCATCCATATAGGAGAACGGAGCGAACTGCTGCACAGTACACTCGTCCTGTATCCGAGCTGAGATTTCATCAGTCACCAGGCTATCAGCGCTGATGAGACTCCCCAGATAAGTGAAGCGGTCAACACGCTCGACTACTTCACTTCATATCACTAGTTCAGATGCCGATGCGACCCAGTCTTGAAGGAACATTTTGCATTTCGAGGGGGGAAACCGCATCCCGAACATGCTCGCATTGTTGCTTATGGTAGTCAGAAGACTGCATTTTGTCAGCGTCTTCACCGAATAGAACTATGTCATCGGCATATTCTCGATCAGTAAGCGATTTTTCCGGTAGAAGGTCAACGCCTGAAAAATCTGACAAGCTTAATGTTGACTCTAAGAGGATGTCTACGACAAAGTTAAACAAGAATGGAGAGAGTGGACATCCCTGACGGACACCACTTTTGTACTGAATACTAGTGAAGGGTAATTATTTTTGAGTGTATTGCTTTGGTCAAAAAATTTGATTGTCAGCATTTAGTTCCATGACGTACAGTTCTCATGAAACTGTTGCAGTATACTGCTAAAATTCATATTCAATCAATGTTAATTTAGCATTTTTTATTTTGTGAATTTATGCCAGATGTTTGAAACGTAACAAAAATCATTAGAAGAATAGGGACATGAATTAATAAAGTTAAGATTGATACGTATTCATATTTTTTGATATATGTATCTCAGACTTTAATTCACGTCTCTATCTAAGATTGTTTTCTTTTTCTAAACGTTAATGAATTCTCTTCACTGGAAATTATTTACATGGTTAATCGTCTGTTTTATTATGTGTTATTAACCTGAATTCCAAAGTAAATATCACTTCATCAAGTAATAAAGTAGTACTAAGTGATTTATTATTATTATTATTTTTTTATAATTTTCTCATTTTTCAGTGCTGTTTATCTTGTAAGACATAAAATAACTAGACAACGATTTAGTTTAAAGAAAATTCGTAAACAACACTTACAATTGCGTAATCAAGTTGAACAAGTATTTGCTGAACGAGATATTATGAGTTTTGCAGATAATCCATTTGTTGTTAGTTTATGTTGTACATTTGAAACAAAAAAATGTTTATGCATGGTGATGGAATATGTGGAAGGGGGTGATGTGGCAACTTTATTAAAACATATTGGTGGACCATTACCATTGGATTTGGCTAGAATGTATTTTGCTGAAACTGTATTAGCACTTGAATATTTACATAATTATGGTATAGTTCACAGAGATTTAAAACCGGATAAGTAAGTTATAGCTTATTTTCTTTTTCAATGGATGTTACATTATATAGTTTTTTTTCCAATATGATTCATAAGTATTTAGTAAATTAATTCAGTTATTTGATCATCTTCATAATGATTATGATGAAACATATGTATTGTTTTAAAACGCTTTTCTTTACAGTTTTCTGAGTTCATATGATCATAATTACAATTGCTTGCTGTTGTATGTAGAAAAAAGTCGATTTGTATGTGTAAATTGAACATACAATCCAAAGGAAAGAATTTCGTGCACTTCTCATTTTTAAAAAAAACTGATTTGTATATACAAAAATGACATCAAAAATAAATACCAAGTTTGAACCAACAAGTTGGACTCAGAAAATATGGTCTACCAATGGTATATAATAACATTTTGTTTAGTAATATTCTCATATCATTTTTAAAACTACTCATTAAAATAACCAATATCAAAGTAATAGCTGTGACTGAGACAATGCTTATATAATTAAATAATTCTTCATTCACTAACTGATTATAGAGATTGTTATATCAACATAACCAATGATTCATGAAAATCATTCAGTGTATCTATAAATTGTGTTTCTTGAACATACAACAAATGTAAAATCAAATTTTACACAACTTGTTACATTGAATGCATAAATGAAGAGAATTTTCTACCTTATCAACTTGTAGTGTAAAAAAATTACTGATTTCTACTTTGGCAACTTCCAAAGATGTTAAATATGTGTATGGTTATTACAACAGAATATACTAAATCCCAAAATGAATATATCTATCTATATATATATATATATATATATATATATATATAACGTGGAATAAGGAAGCTTAACGGTCATACTAAAAGGTGAAGCTTTGTTTTTTTAGTATCTAATCTATGATGCTATTGAGATCAGGCATTGTTATTGATCTGCTTTGTCAGTTTACAATTGATAATTTTTTTTCATAGTTTCAGTTGTGCATAGCAGACCATAGATGCAGGATTTTCTATAACCTGTTTGAAAAGCTAATCGGTATTTTGTTTGAATGTTATGCTTCTATCTTTATTTTCATAGTTCTAACAAAAACATTTTTGCCAGCATAATGTCAATAAACATTTTTTGTTCGGTATTTATTCAACTATGGAAAATTTTTTACCGCATCATTTGTTTTCATTCGGAAATATTCACATTTTTATTCAATGGCTATACTGTTAGTATGTTTTATTTTTTGTTGAAACAATGGTTTAGATTTTTTCTAGCTGTATAAATTGTAGATATGGATTCAGTTTCTGTTTTCTGAACTATTCAATATTAACAGATGCCTAACAAATACAGCCCTTGGTATTCAATCAATAAATAGTTGCTTCGAACTCCCCTCAGGATAGTTTCATTAACCACCGTGGAAATACTACAATGTCAAACCGGACTACATAAAGGTATACTTGGTAAAAATAGAAATTACAATAGAGAAATATTAAATTCTAATGATTTGAAAAGCCTGTAGAAATCCAGAGGATTTATCAAATCATTTTAACATGTTTATATCTATTTTAGTTACTAGTTGAGTACTGTTACCATAAGAAAATAATTAGTTTCTTCCCTTTGATTTTCTGAGATCTAATCTGTAATCTTTTTTTAAATATTATATTATTCTTTATTATCAAAGAAAGCAGGTTATTTTTAACACAAAACTAGCCTCATACTCATTACCAGCGGTTATAGTTTCACTTGCACTCTTTACTCATCAATAGGCTGATCTCTTTCTAACTAACATACATATGTTGGCAATGCAAAGATAAACATGAATAAATGATGCGCACAATTATGACAAAATCAACTAGTATTTGTTTACAGTCTTTCGTTGTCACAAGCTTAAAAAATGTGAATTACCGTATGTTTGTCTCCATATTGTGAAACTTGTTACAACAGAATAAAAGCAACCGGATGTAAAAATAACTTGATGTGATACTAATTAATTTTGTGCTTAAACTGACAGTTGTACAGTTTTTGAGAAGTGGTAAAACTTCATTTATGCATTCAATGTAACAAGTTGTGTAAAATTTGATTTTACATTTGTTGTATGTTCAAGAAACACAATTTATAGATACACTGAATGATTTTCATGAATCATTGGTTATGTTGATATAACAATCTCTATAATCAGTTAGTGAATGAAGAATTATTTAATTATATAAGCATTGTCTCAGTCACAGCTATTACTTTGATATTGGTTATTTTAATGAGTAGTTTTAAAAATGATATGAGAATATTACTAAACAAAATGTTATTATTTACCATTGGTAGACCATATTTTCTGAGTCCAACTTGTTGGTTCAAACTTGGTATTTATTTTTGATGTCATTTTTGTATATACAAATCAGTTTTTTTTAAAAATGAGAAGTGCACGAAATTCTTTCCTTTGGATTGTATGTTCAATTTACATACACAATCCCTATGTGCAGTAGTATTTTATGACACTAACTTATTTTCATTTAAAAAGTTTCCATTTAGCTACTTTCATTCAGTTCAGCGATTGATTAAAGAGTTGCTCTTCCACTATAGATTTTCGGTTATGACTTACTCAAACCTTTTACATCGTTGGTTAATGCTAATTTATCTTGATTTCACAGGATGAATATTGTTTACTATCTTAGTAGGATAATTATTTACTATCGTTCCATTTTTCTCAACAGTCGTTTCCCTCTTTTTTATTTAATCTTCAAGTTTGCTTATAACACATGAAGGTCACATAAAGTTAACGGATTTTGGACTCTCTCGAATTGGATTGATGAATCTTGCTACTAATTTGTATGAAAAAAATTTAGATTTAGAAAAAGACTGTAAAATGTTTCGTGATAAACAAGTATTTGGAACGCCAGAATATATTGCTCCAGAAGTAATTCTCCGACAGGGTTACGGTAATTACATTTTTGTTTTTATATTTCTTTCATATAATAATGTCGCTTTCACGCTGGCCAATCATTTCAAACCTCCAATCCCTTTATTATCAAGTCACTAAGTTGAGGTGGCAATATACTAAACTGTTTGAAAGTGGAAGGTTCGAGCCACGCGACTAGAGTTACGGCTTTTGGGTCCAAGCAAATTCCACTCCCTATACAAGCATAAATTAATAACGTGGTCCACATTCTTATGAATTTTTGGCATATTCATAAATTAAACCTCTAAAACACAGCACAGTCCTTCAATATATCTACTTAGATTTCAAATGTTCGTACAGATTAGTGTTTACTTTTCTACTCCTCAGGTATCAGTTTATCAACTTCTTTTATTTTTTTACTAGGTAAACCAGTGGATTGGTGGTCAATGGGTATTATGCTATACGAGTTCCTCGTAGGGTGCGTTCCGTTTTCTGGTGCTAGTATAGAAGAGCTCTTCGATAATATCGTGACAGGTATGTTATATATATATATATATATATATATATATATATATATATATATATATATATATATATATATATATACGTATATCCGTTCAAGTTCCCATATCATATCAGCACACAGAGATCGAACTGTCAGTCCTAATCCCATTATGGTAGATGTAGTAGACGTATTAGCGGTAGTGGAGAAAATTAGGCTATGAAGATATTATTCATAAAGTATAATCCAGTGAAATAAACTGAAAAGCAGAAATGTAAAGCTGATGAGGAAACCAGAAGATTAGAATTTAAGAGAAGTAAAAGACTAGATGCATCTATGCGATTGCAAACGATTTGGAAGCATGTCATTCGAAGTCTCTAACCATCGGTTACAATTGTCACGCGGAGCCGAACCAGGCAGTCTAAACCAATAACATGGTTCAATTCAGTCGCCAGAGACTTCATGGATTTGTGTCATGATTTGGTTTGACTGCTCCTGGTTTTGTCCCAGACTATATTGCTCGTCGAGGTCGTCGGTAGTTAGGCATAAGTAACACATGCCTCAATCACCCCAACTGATGAAGATGCATTACTTCATCAACCGATTTGCCGTCCTTATCTAGTACCCTTTTCCTAACAATAGCACTGCTTGCTCAGCGTTATTCTTATATACGAGTATTTATTGGAAACCATCTATAGTTTATTACGAGCAGTCTGTGAACATCGTCTTTTCTCATTGGCCTTATTTCACAGTCGCGAATTAGGACGGAGTGTACTGCTTCTCAGTAAACCCGTACTTTTTTTGTAGACGGATATCTTGCTGACTCCATAAGTAATGCTAGTTGATGAAGGTCAGTCGACGTTTTTGTGTCTGTGCCGAAATTTATCAGGACACCAGGTCATCAGCACTGATGAAACTCTAAAGATAAGTGAAGCAGTTGACACGTTCAGCTACTTCACTCCCTATCACAAGTTTAGGTGCTCTCACAAGCCAATCTTGAAGCAACATTTTGTATCTTGAGGGGGATAATCGCATCCCGGACATACTTGCAATGTTGCTGAAGGTGGTCAGAAGACTGCATTTTGTCAGGATCTTCACTAAGTAAAGCTCTGTCATCGGCGTATTCTACGTCAACTAGTGGAATTGCTGGTGGATTGCCAACTACTGAAAAGTCTGATGATAAACACCACCTCTAAGGTTCACGATTACAATTATTGTCGTACGCTCAAATGTGCGTTTATGTTCAAGGACCTGACAGTGAAGATATTCGGTCCACGTATCCATGTCCAGGCCTAAAACTAGACTGGTTTATATCGAGTTTGCTACTCGTGAACTCTGTTCACACGTTTAGATGTTGCCGAGGCTTAGACACCATATCAGTTAACCTGATTCCTCTGTGATTGTCAAAAAAGGATTTTTGTCCTAAAAAATTGAAACGATCAGTGATCAAGACCGAACAGATGAAATTACGTTTAGTTCCTAGATTCTAGCTAACATTTAACTTAACAGTTAAACTAGAACAACTTCCTTCCTTCCTTTACTGGCAGATATCACTGCTGTTTTCACAGCATTTTGGATTTAATTTACAGTATTCACATAAAAGCTGACACTTGCTCATAAGTGGATCGGATACAAAAAAGGCAGACAGTCTTTTAGCAAATTGACAAATGCTAATACTAGCCGGAGATTTGAATGTGTAGGAAAGGCGTCTAGATGGAGGAGAGAAGCTTTTACAATGGGGACCTGAAGGTTGTTTCAGCTCAACCGAGTCATTTGAAAAAAGAAGTTGGATGTCAGTGAAACAATCGGTAAAGCTGATAACATTTCAATTAGTGACATGGAACTTGAAATGGTAGTTAGATCAGCGTTGGTTTTAGCCAATATAGTTCGGCTGTGTCATCACAATAAGCACGACCGCCACGTTAAGGTACAGTCAGAATATATGAATTATATATATATATATATATAATAGTTAGTTAGTTAGTTGGTGAAACAAAATTGCAGTGCAATCGATGAAAAATAGTGTCACAAATGTTTTTTCAACCATTATTCCTTTTTTGGATTGCGTCGCACAGGCCATTCATGAAATCACCACATGTTTTAATGATCAATAATCGTGTTAATAAGCGCCTTTACTTTTTGGACGCAGTTGGTAATCGATTGGAAATAGTGATCTTTCACCTTGTGCATATTTCTTTTTTTCAAGCTTCGATTTTTATTCGCCTCATGCCTTGTGTGTCGTGCAGATTTGCGCATACTTCACATGTATATATATATATATATATATGATTGTTTGATTGTTGTAATTTATTTTAATGGTGCATGACCTGTAGGGTAACTGGTTTTCATGTATGTCAGAAATTTCGAAATAAAAATCAAAGAAACTTATTTCAAGATAACATTTCTTAGAGTAATTCTTATTTATATATTGTGGAAAAGTGAAATGCAATTGATTTTTTACATTGTTCTGGTTTACGGATATGCAAAGGTAGGTAGGGTATTCAAATACACTGATAAAATGCTTTTTCGTGGAATTTAAACAAAATACGTAGATTTGAATATATATTTCAATGCTATCTTCAAATCTTCATCCACGTGTATATAGTCATAGTCTATCAACTAAATTCACTGAGCTGAACTGATAGGGACTTAGGTGATTACGCTCACTACTGTTTATACAAGTAAGAGCTAATCTGATTCGTACTTTTGATAAGGTAAAAATATTAAATGTCTATGTTTTTAGTTGTAGTATATAGTAAATATAAATCAGAACCTTTTTCTCCTCATGCTTCACAACAATAAATACACTAATAAATGTGGTGTCTAAGTAAGTATCGTTTGTCAACTTGTTTAACCTGTAGTGTGGACGCGATAACTAAAGTACACTGTACAGCTGTGAAGGGTGATCTAGTATTCGAAACATTGCCTGTATATGTTAAGACCACTGGGTTAGCAATTCTGAGGTTAGACGTAGGGTCCTGAATTTATATGATAAGTCAATTAATGAAGTAGTATATGCTTATCTACTGAAATGGTTAGGAGAGATAGTGCGTATGACGATTCACAGGTTACCTCTTCTTTAAGCGAGCTAGGAATAGCCAAACTAAAACTTCGCAGCAGTCCGTGAAGACAGTGATTGCTAGAGTAAACGGCATAGGTATATACAAACCAGCCAGTTAGAGTCCTCATGATTATCGTAACCAGTGGTTAAAGATGTCGGGAATAATGGTTTAGAATCATTCGCAATGGCACAGGCTCATTCACCTTTCTCTCAAATACTAAGTTTCAATATTACTTCTTAAATTTTTAATCCATACTTTCTCCTTAAGTAGTGTCTTCTCTTTCCACTAATACTGTTACTACCTGTACTATAGGATTAACTTAGACAAAGTCTACCTCACTGCACTAATATGGTGTGATAACTTCCACCTATGTACACATGTAGCCAGGTATTTTGTTTCGTGTAACTGACTGATTCTATTTACACGGTATTTAGACACCTAATTGAAACGGTTATCAAATATCTGCTGGATTTTTAAGTTATTTTGTGGTTAGCATCACTGACTAACATTATTTAGGGAACTATTATAAACTTGAAAGCATTGGAGAACTATTTCATCATAGTGTGAGACTCCTCAACGATGCGTATTCACAACCCTACCAGGGACAATTCGTAAACCTCAGGTTTCCCAGTGAGCATTTAACCTTTAGACCACCAGGTATCCATCGCTTTATGTAACGAACTTGAGTCAACTCGTGTCATCGGTGGGTAGCTTCCTCATATATTTGTTTGGGCTCCACTAGGGCTGCAGTAATTTTCTCGCTGGGGTCGTGGTTGTTTAATTAAGATCAGTTGTTGATTTAGATTATAGAATACAACGATTTCCAGATTTCACTCACACTAGTTCATTTGTATGCTCAATTTAAATAACTGGTTAATATTTAGTTCTTTAAAAGCGTGTTATCTTAATGATGTCTACCACTCCTTTTTACAATTAAATGTTCTGTAAATATATAGCATGTTAGAATCTTTTCTCAATTCGAAATTTTATCTTGTTGTCATTCTTCTAGTGATAAATCATAAAAAGGCCGCTATCGTAAAATGTCACTTTGGATTATATGTGTCTAATTATCCCAAAATTAATAGAAAAATTATTTTAGTCACTCATTAGGTACATCATTGATGCGAACATTGCCATAAGTAATTGAATACCAATTTGTAGTGACTGCAGACATTACAGTGGAATTTTGTTACGTAAATATAGTTAGCACTCAAAGAAATGTGTAGTTGATTTTCCATAAACTATTGCCGTTTTTTTCCTATCACCTACATGATCAACCTAACAGATACAAACTATTCCATAGTTTTGGTCTGTAATCCTGTGGTCGGCAATCGACTCATTGAGATTGTTTTACGTTGTAGTACTTGGAATTAATCACTAAGTCGAAGATTCTGCATTTTGCGGGAGTTGAGCACATTCAGTATTTAATATATGAGAATGTTCTATGTAATTTTCCGAAGTATGTTTAATTCAAAAATATTTCTATGATCAATAAAGTATTCGTGTATCTAAAGCGTGTTGCTACATAAGTCTTCAGAAACTATAATATTTCTTCTGATTAAATAACATTGCGTAATAACTTTATTTTGTACTGGAATGTGTAAGGGTTCTATAAGCATTTGAAGTGAATCATTGTATTCTTTCGTTATACTGTCAGCACCAATCGACTGGCCCGAGGAAGAAGAATGGAGAGTTACTCCATCAGCTGTGGACATAATAACAAGACTTCTTGAGCGAGACCCTCTTCTCCGTCTTGGAACTATTGGCGGATCAGCAGAAGTTAAAGAAACTCTATTCTTCTCTGGTCCAGGTTCAGTAGATTGGAAAAATTTACTACGACAAAAAGCCGCTTTTGTACCTCAACTTGAACATGAAGAAGACACCTCGTACTTTGATCCGCGCACTGATCGTTACAAACATGATGTGGAAAATGATGAGGATATATATATTCCTATGGATTATGGTATGTGTAGCAATCGATCTTCTCCTGCACCTCATTTGTCGGTTTCCCGAAATTTTAGCTTTAATTCATCTGCCGATCAAGGCCTAACGAATATCATCCGGCGACCAGCAGCTTCTCGTCTTGGACGTGCTAAACAACAAGCTGTTGAACATAAACGTAGTCACAGTTTGGGGGACAATAATAATTTGTTTCTCCGATCATTTATGTCTCGTTCAAAAAGTCGAAGCATCCGTGATTCACCTATAAACACTCCACAGTCATTTATGCATTCAGAACTAAGCAGTTCAAGTTCTCAACGGTCTTTATGTCAACCAAAATATGATCCTGAAAAAATTGAACATGACATGGTAACTTCTACTTTAACCGCGGAATCCGTTGCAAGTCGTAATGCTCTTCACATGCTGCAAAATTTATCATTAGCCTCCGGAACTACAGAAAATTCCATGTGCTCAAAGTCAATAAATGAGAATGTCATTCATAGTCAAAAACCTACGACGTCTGAGATAAAATTAGAAAAGTTGAATGTAGATGTTACTAAACCAGAAGTTAGTGATGATGATCTCGATGTCAGTCAGAGCATGGCTGATGACTCACGTACATTCCATTATTTCTCTTCCTATTCACCTCGTTTCTCTGTTGTTTTGGAACAAGCTAGAATGAACGAACTTCGTCTTAACAATTCAAATACCAGTTTGAACTCTAACGAAGCAGATCCTGCCAACGAAAACAATACGCTTCATACTTCATCATCTCGTATCAATCTGACATCTAATAATTTTAATATCAAGCATGTGAATCCCGAACTTTCTAAAGAAAACTGTAAGTTTGATCCAAACGAACAACAGTCAATTACAAATAATCAAAACACTATTTCTTCTGGTTACCCAATGAATAATTTCCAAATTAACACTAACTCATCGAATGTAAGTATTTTGATTACTATTTTATTACTATTATCTGGTTAGATATTAAAACGATACACTAATTGTACTTCTGTTCTTTGTAAGATTTATTGATGCCCTTGACTTGTAGTCTAGATATATACGTCAGCTAAACAAAACATTATTTTGGGATAAGTTGATTAATGATCTGAATTCTCATCATAATAATTTTTCTAAACGTTTGTTCAACTTATTTTAATAGACATTCTATAGTTATGTGTTAGTCGCATTTACTTTCTCAGAATTTTCAATCTGATTAATATAGAAACGAATCAGCTTTTTAACGTATTTTTCAATTATTACTTTTAGCTTCGATCATCTGATATATCGAGTGCTGATGAATCTACTAAATATGATCAGTTCTCTTCCGACATTATCAACCAAAGCGTTATTATCCCTTCAATCACCCACACCGGTACTGAAAGTGCGACACCCATTCTGTTAAACGCCAAAGAGTCAGACAAACATCCCATTATGTCTGATGCTAGTAAACATTCAAAGTCTTCTGAATCGGATTCTAACTCGAGTTTAGAACTGTTTCAAAACGATTCGAGCATTCACTTTTCTCGGAATTCTACCAGAGATGAACCAACGATTTACCAGCCTACTAATCTTGTTTCTTCTGAATCCATTGAAAAACCCCTACAAATGCCCATAAATTCCGCTAGTCTTGAACACTTTGCCAGACACACACCTTCTCATTCATCGACTTCAAATTCATCTTCATCTAAATCCTCTCTTTCGTTGACGGTTCTCACTCCTCATACAGAATCGTTCTTCTCTCCCATAGTTGACCATGATTCCGCTCTACATAAAGGTCCATGGTTTCTTAATGTTGATTTAAAACCAGATGAAGAACATATCAATGCTTGTTCTCACCAACATACTTCTCGTCCGTTCATGTCCTTTAAAAGTACATCGCCGATACTTTGTCCAAGCAGCGGAACCTCTACGATCAAATCAGATATGTATTGCTCTCACCCATCATACTCATCTGGGCAGTTCCCTTCTGGGCCCTCACATTTCAACAACAATTTCTCACGTATTATACACCTGCCAGTTTCTCCTGTGGGTCTTAACCCTCCTATGCGGCCTTTTATGCCTTACACACATGGAATCCCTCGCCAATCTATCATAATCAATAAAGGTAAACAAGGCTTTGGTTTTGTTTTCCGAGCTATTCGAGTTTTCTTTGGTCTATCAGATGCATATACATTGCATCATCTTGTACTTGAAGTTGTGCCTCATGGTCCAGCAGCTAAAGCCGGTCTCAAAGTATCTGATTTAATTCTTAGCGTTAACAATGTATCGACGATTGGAATGTATCATACAGATGTCGTAAAGCTAATCGTTCAGGTAATTTATAATTTTTGGATTTATTAATGTTTCTTAATGTTGCTAATCGCTAATAACTTTTTATGAAGCCTTAGTCAACAAAACAAGGTTTTGAACAATTATTGCATGAAAACCATTAATTAGATATTAGAAACAAAAGGAATATAGTTAAGGCAGTACTAAACACCTCGATATTTATTCTAAAAACTTTATACTCCAGTGTACCTTGTTACTGATCTTGGAAACAATATAGAACTAAGTGTTGTTTCTCACCACCTTTAATTGTAAGTCAAATTTGATAATATTGTCTTTTATTGTGTAAATTTATCGGGTAAGAAATCATTACTTCATAGTAATCTGTCTTTAGTTATCTACAATGTATATCCAGAAAATGAATTGATCTCAACAAAAAGTTCATGTTCATAGAAAACTTTCAGTTTTGTTAATATATTATGAAAGGCTTTTTAATAAAAGAATTGTAAATTCATTCTTACATTTCACACATAAAAGTCTTCCGACCAAATTGTAACAGATAGATAGTATCGCAAATATGTTTCGCATCTTGTTAGTTATTCTAATGCATGTTATACTTACAGTAATTCACAAGTTTTTTGTTTCGAATCATTTGATTTCAGTTAGTCTTGAGAATAGTCACTTTTAGATTTAATGCAGAAAAATTTATTGTACATCAAACAAATGTGAATAGATATATTCTGTTATGTTATATTGTATTGCAATTGTTTTCAATTCATAAGACCAGCTTTTAAAGTAACCTAGTTTTTTTTAAAACCACTAAATTTGGTGTTAGCCACGTAGTTATGTAATTTCAGACTAATTCATGTCAGTTGCTTACACAGAATTTCGATTAATTATCTCATAATTATTTAATATCTGCTATATACTCAGTTTAAATCTATTCATAGTTATACAAGATAGAACCATGTATGCATGTCAGAAATAACATGTTAATTGACATGGAACTTGATCAAACCTTGGAAAAGGTATGAATGTGTCACATGACGCTAAAACTTTGAATGATCCTATATCATTGAAATAAAATGGAAGGCTTAGTTGGAAATACGTATAAATGCTCGTATGATAAAATGTCTAAATATACTTTCCTGGACTACATTAATAATGTCAAAAATGGCCATGCGCTTCTAACTTTCTTATCTGTCTTTACCAATATCAAGCGTCTGGTCCATTTTCACATTTGTACCTATTTAAAACCATTTTGTCAATAAAACTAAGACGCGTTTTATAGTATTCCTCAAAGTATGTGATGACTAACAAGTTGTTCTTATTATCAATTTTTTTCTCTTTTCTTTCCAATGTAATCGAAATATCCAGAGTGGGACTACTTTACACCTTCATGCAACTCCTATTAGTCAAACATTTATTCGTTCTGATGGACCATACCGTTCTTCTGGTCGTCTGGTACCACGTGTTACTTCAACAGCTCATCTACCTAATACTGTTAGCAATAATAGCACAAATATTATTAGTAATAGTAAAAATGATTACTCTACAAGATACTCAAATCAATTTCCGGATAAGTACACATGTACGCCTTATACGCAGTTTAGTTCCTTAATGTGTTGTCATTCTAATGCTCCTGAATCAATATCCAAAGATGTTTTATCACAGCCTTCTGATGATAAATCATATGCTTCAGTATGTACGTCAAATAATTCAAGAAACACTGATGAAGTAGCTAAACGCATAACTCGACGTCTGACGATAAGAGAAGCTCGTCACCGTCACTTAAATAATGCAGCTTATGAACCTAAAGTTCAATATATACAACCAGATACCAATTTAAATTGTTGTTTTCATCATTCAGACTCAGTGCCAAATAGTGCCTGTATAAATAGATCGAAAAGTTGTTATTCTCAGCCAGTAACAACATGTTCTAAAGGATCTGCTCAGACTTATGCTTCTGTTGCTGCTCAACGATTTGGTATTTCTTTAGGTCAAACCCCTACTAACCGCATAAGCTCTAATTCAGTTTCTCAAAACAATAACATGTTTTTCCCAGTACATCGTAGGTAAGTTGAATTTTCATATGTACTTATAATCGATTTTTTTTACTTTCCATAAAACCTGCATCAGCCTACCAGTTTTGAGCTTATCTTGCGTATAGGGAATGTGCATTCTTTCTCTCCGTAAACTATGCCCAGCTGACCCATTAGTATACTTTAGTTGCCGTCCTTGTACTATTATGAACAGATAACTGACACTGATGCCTTAAATCTTACTGGTAATCATACTCTTCAAAATAACAGCTGGAAATTAATAGTTGAACTAATTCAGGTGTTAACTTAAGCTTCGGACCGCCAAATCATTTCTGTAAGTTGGTGCTGATAACTAATCTTTTCAATTAGCATGCTGTTAAAGTACTCAACTCTTATCATGACACTGAAACAGACTAAAGTAATCTGCAGCTCTGCATTAACAGACTAATCAAGCAATCTTCGGATGTGCTAAAAGGTTTATTATGTAGACTTATACTATTTCCCTAATTAAAGAGAACCGTCATACTTGACGACAACACACAACCACGTGACTCCCTTAATTTATGACTGGGGTTTAAATGATGATGTTGAATCAAAAACTCCTGACTGGAATTTGATAAATGAATAAGATTGACTGTCAAAAGTTTTTTATTAGACTGATCGAAGAAATCCGCTTTTTATATTTCCAGGGTATCATCATAATCATTGATTTATCTTTCTCGTGGAAATGATAACATCCAAGGTAATAAATATTCTACTGAGCTTTAATATTACGTTCGTCGAGGTAGTCGGTGGTTAGGCATACGTAACACATGTCCCGATTACTTCAGCTGGTAAAGATTCACTACCTCGTCAATTGGTTTTGCCATCCTCACCTAGTACCCTCTTCCTAATCCAAGCATTTTTTACTTGTTGGTTCCAAAATACATGAGCAGAGCTTTGGAAACACTAATTGTCGAATACGAACAGCCTGAAAATTTCCTCCCTGCACACCCGCCTTATAAAACGTGGCAAACTGTTTCATAGTATACTCGTCCTCTGGTTGGCAGATGGATATCTCGCCTGCGCCATAAGTGACACAAGTTGGCAAAGCCAGTCAATCCTTCTTTATCTGAGCTGAGACTTCGTCATACATCAGGACTAATGAAACTTATAAGATAAAGGAAACGATCGATACGCTGAATTACTTCACTCTGTATTAGTAGTTCAGAAACCGACTCAATCAAATCCTAAAGCGAAATTTTCCATTTCGAAGGAGAATCTCATCCAAAATGTAGTTATTGCTGCTTAAGCTGGTTGTAACTCATAGAAATGTTATATGTGTGAAACAAAAATTAAAGGTTTTAATACATTTAGTTTGACAAAATGCTATTCAAATATTTGTCCAGACATAGCTGGATATCTTTATCACCTATCCTTTTGCAACTAAGTTAAATCACAAAATGTGATTCTGATTACAAATCACTGTTATTCAGGACTATCGTTCAGTGATAATTGCAACCATTCTCTTTTTATGGCTTCTTTTTTAATTTTGTCCTCCATCAATTAAGATTAACTACCTTTATGGGACATTAAGCAAGGTTTCTATGGTTCCATTTCAAATTTTTCTTTAGATCGCTTGAGAAACCTCTTATTCGTCAGTTGAGTGAACGACAACATCGAGCTATGTTTTCTACGCCAGATGATATTTCGTCAACGAACAGTCCTACAGCGTATTCCGTTCGCAATACAGTCCCCTACAGTTCACCTCATCAAAGTCCTAGGTCTGATCATTTTCAAAAACAAAATGTATTCAGTTTCCATAAACCATCATTAACTGTCACTTCGTGTTTTTCTGGTCCTTCTTTCCCCTCTTCTGGCCGGTGTTCGGGTGGAGACTTATCTTCTCATAGTTCTCCAGGTTCTGGTAGCTCAGCCACTGCTTCGGTTTCTCGACCTTGTGATTCTACTCATTCAACCCTAAATCCATTTCAACAGGGACGTTTTGGTAGTCTACGGGCCTCCTACCATTCAGCTACTCAATTTTTCAATTCACATTCGGATAATTCATCAATGAAACTAACGTTTGCTCGTCAACATGCACCTAAATCCACATTTATTACACAAAACTCAAATGGATCTCAGTGTAGACATAGTGATCCTATTCGACCTGCACGGGTAAGTTGGTATTTTGTCCATCAGTCACCTCTGCATGCAAGTTTTTTATCAGTAAGAAACGAGATTGTCAATGATTGCTTATGTAAGACTTGGCTGGCAACTATTTCATATGTAGACCTTTAAACTTTTATCTATTCTCTTAATCTTGTTTTTATTTGCTTTCCATTAGCAAAACAATCTTCATCTGCATAATTGATTGTTAAGTCAGCAGTTACTCCTCTATTTCGTTTTATCTAACCCCAGGTGTATTGATACTACGAATAGTTTACGTATAATTAATTATGTGCTCATCATTTGAAATTTCTCTACTTTTCACCCAGATTTCAGAAGACACACGAACTGCTTGTTCCGTTGTACCCAACCTACAAAACTCCAACAGCAATTTGTCTGGATCGATTCAAACACCTGCATTTAGCCCCACACCAGCACCACTACAGACTCCTGTTCAAAATACTGACTTGGATAAATTCTCAGTTCAGGCAAATGCTCTAGTGTCATCAGGTCAAGTTAAGTTACGTAGGCATAGTCATCGATTTGCCGTTCAACATGTAACCTCACCTAAAAGTTCAGTTGAAAGTAGTGAGGAAAAATTTAAGAAATAATGATAATTTTTAAAATTCAAGTACTTTGATGGTGAGACATCTTTTTCTCCTTCTTGACCAGCTTACTATTAGCTTTTTCAATCATTGTCCAGATTATTTTGGGATAAATTCAAACAAACTTAAATACTGTGATTGTTATTTTTTAAGAACTACTGGGATTCAAAATTTTGCTTATGCATAAAATTTGTTGAGATTTTTCAAAGTAATTCGACTCTCCCGGTTTTCTTGATCTATGTAGTTCTGCTTCATATTTTCCCCATTCAATTCACTTTCTTTCTTGTGTTACCTTGGTCATTATAGTTATCTTCTTGATTATTTAATAAATATCAAGTGTTATTGTACTTACATTACATATCTCCTTACGTTGTTCATCTGTTATAAATGGATCATTGTTTTTATTATTTTTTGTCACGTAAGTATTACAGTTTGTTCATATTGAAGTTGATCATATTTTAATGTGATAACTTCACTGTGCCACATTCCTTGTAATACACTCTTGTTCATTGCAATAATTTGATTGTTATTGAAGTCAGTTAGATTTTTTCTTTAGGGTATCCATGGTATCAGTATTTTATTTCTCATTTATACAGTTATCATAATTTGTGATTGTGTCTTCCTTTCTTTTCTGGACCATGTTGGTAATTTCTCTTCATAAACTGATCAATTTATCTATAGATTTGTTTTTTTTGACCACTCTTTTGTCACTACTCCGTATATCATCAAAGGGACGTACACGTAAAACTTCCTTACATATCTGTTTGTGTGTGTGTGTCTATGCAGTCAAAAGCTTTTGTGTCTTTATGAACACATGTTACTAAACCTATTCATCACGTAGTTGCTTTGTACAGTTCTCTTAATTTACACTATTTTTTGTTTCTTTATTATTGACTTTCTTTGTTGATTCATTTACACATTGCATGCATCTATGTTTTAGTCTTTTCCAAATTGTATCGTTAATTCATCTTGCTTTTTGTTATTGCGTAATCTGCTTTACTTTTTCAAACATCGTATAGCCAAGAAAATTAAAAATTTTACTATTTATCAGTTTATTTTCTGTATTATGTTTAACGGAACAAATGTTATTGAATCTAAGTAGTGCGGGTTAACTGCGTAGTTCAATATTCTCCATTAAATTAATCTTACATGTCGGTATGGATTTGTGAAATGGTCGTGTAATTTAGTAGGTCGATTGAAGTTATATGTTCACATCGTTGCATGCCGGCTCAATAATGATCCAGGAGTTAAATGTTCGCACAGGAGAATGAATGTTCTGGGTTATATTCCTGCATGCAGAGTCGTGAATGAGCACTGTTAGCAGATCCCATACCAGGACGAACTGTCTTTCAATTTTTCAATGGTGTTCTAACTTAGATTAGTTCGTGGTTTTAATAATCTTAGTTTAAAAATACCTAGCAATTGATAAAATTTCCATTTATGAAAACCACCTTCTTCGTTAAATTCGACATCCTTATACTGCGTAAAGTAAAAATGTTTTATCTACCTATTCATGGATTTATGAGGAGCGTTTTTTTTACTCGTTTAGCCAGCTTACTTATTTTATACAACAGAAATTTTCCATGCAATATTTATCTGCTGACCGATTTCTGAATTTCATGCTTCAGTTAGGTAAAATCACTCCGTTTGTTGACTACATTTTACTCTTGCTTCGCTTATTTCAACATTGTGATTTTCACTTGACGTACCGTAACTCATTAACTTGAGTTATCTGAAACAATTATAGTAGTCAATTAGTTCTTCATTTTCTACAATCTCATTGGTCAGAAACCGGGACTATATCTGGTTTGACGTATTTTATAATATATGAAAGAATTCATGTCTCATTCAGATGGCTTGCATTTCTTATTACGTTGTTGAACGGGAGTCGCGCTTTGACTATCTTCTAATACAGTATCGAATAAAGAACTACAATCTTACTGCAACTCACGTTTTATTTTTGTTAACTAATGAAAAATGTAAGTTAGTTTATAATTCTATTTTTGTTTAAAAAAATAAACAAAGGAAACCTAATTTTAATAAATCATAGTTCACAACACATGTTGTTACATAAATTGTTCATGTTCATTTAGTTTGTGTTATATTTATCAGGACGTAATCATTTTATTATTAAGTTGATTCATTGCCAGAGTGGACAGATACTTCAAAATCCGGGGTTTTGATCCGGACATCTGATCCGTGGACTTGAATTGGTTCTTTCGGACTATATATTGTTCTCGTTCTGTATGGAACCTTCATGTCATCCTGACTACCTGATTCTTGTGATGATTGTTCATTTGGAGATCGATTTGGAGATAAACTTTTATAATTGGCATGTTTGTGTTGCCGTTCATACGACGTTGCAGTGCGTCGTCCGTTAGACTTTAGGCTGGCAGCGTCCCTAGATTCCCGTATTGTTCTTCGTCTAGGCGATAAAGAGCATGCATATGCTCTTCGGCTTGGTGATGTAGACTTGACTAAACTCAGTTCCCCTCTCCTACGGTCCAACTCAGCGTTAAGAAGCCTACCCTCTGTTTCAGCCTGTGATCGGAGCTTTTGAAAGAAACAGAAGTAAAAATGGATTAAACTATAGTTAAATCTCATTGAAAGCATTTTATCAGGTTTATGTAACTGATAATTTAAATTTGACCTAAGGCTAAAAGATTTAGCTTAACTAACTGAGAGTTCAAAGTTCACTCAAATACAGTCTTTAAACAGTCAGTCAGCTGCGACGTAGAACTTTGTACAGAGCGCAGAGATCAAACTGTCAATTCAAATCCCACAGTGGTAGGTGTAGTAGAAGTGTTAGCGGTAATGGAGAAGATTAGGGGTCGAACCAATTATAATCCAGTCAAATAAACTTAAGAAGATAAAAGTGATGAGGAATTCATAAGATTAAAATTTCAGAAAAGACTGAGAATGGATGCACTTATCTGTGTTATTACAAACGATTTGGAGCCATTTCATTCAGTCTCTAACCGTCGGTTACGATTGTCTGGTGGACCCGAACCAGGTAGTCTAACACGATAACTTGGCTTAGTCCACAGTTGTCAGTGACTTCACGGATTTGTTATCTTTTCTGGTTTGACCACCCCTGGCTTTCTCCCAGACTGTCCCTACATCAGAAGATTTCGCTCGTCGAGGTAGTCGGTGGTTAGGCATAAGTAACACATGTCTTAAAACATTATTTTATTTAACGATTTCAAATCAAAATATTTTGTATAATTCTTCAGCTAACAACATTTGAAAAACTACTAAAGTGGATCAGGAACTGCACGTTTGTCTCATGATTGTTGAAAATATTTTGTTAGTATTCGCTATATATCTGTTTTTAATCATTAATGAGGCAAAATATATATGTCTTGTCTCATTTATTCTGAGCAAATCTACAACAAGCCCGTGGATACAGTAATCGTAATCTAGTGAATAATTGATAAATCTATCTACTCTGGTGATTGATTATGCGTATTACCAATTATTTTGTCAATCATCTTAAGCATAACAGCAGTTGCTATTCTAAACTTTAGCTTATATTATTGTTACTTACTCGAATTGCTTTGGTTAAACTGAGCATAATTTCAGCTAATTTATATTCCTCTCTTGTTACAGCTCGACGTTTCTCCATTTGTTCTGCGAGATGTTGAACCTAATTTTTTGAAAAATCAACTTAATAGACATTGTGTAAGCAGTATAATCTTAAACAGGTGGTAATCCTTGGTTGCGATTAGTTTTCATCGGTAATTATATCTCTGAGGTATGATGGTAGCAAGGTATTTTTCTCAGTACCTCTACTGGATTTAGAGAGACTAAATAAAAAGTTAGAAAATGTTCATAAATTTTTAAATGTGCGTAAACAATGTTTTGAAGCCCGAGGAAATTACCTACGGAAGTTTGTATGTGACCAGTCTCAAGATAGTTTCCTTCTGACTCCGTGGTCATTCCTTCGAGTGAATAAGACCGACTGGATCAGTCAATTTTTTCTCAAATTATTCAAGACACCCGTACATTTCCAGTATTGCATGATTTACTATCCATCAACTGGACTTACTATGCTGGTTAAAATATTAAAGTTAATTAGATGTAAATATCATATTAGTCTACGAAGTCATTAATTGTTGGTCTGAACATTCGAAAGGTGATAGGAGACAACTGTAATCTTTGTTTAGATATTTGAGGTAACAGTCTCAGTTACACTGATCTATATATTTGTTTTCCTATACGTCTTGGATATTTTATTTTTTCTCTTTCATTCCTGGATTCGATTCGTTTCTTTTAAAATACGGTCCTATGTTTATCATCACACTACAATGAATTATCATATTTTCTCTCTTCTTTTAATCGTCATAATTTTCTCAGATGTGAAGTACGGCACATGTATCAAGTTATTTATCGTATATGACTGTCGGTTGATAGAATATGTTGTAATCATTAGCATGATTGGAACTGTGATAACCTGAGTGAATCAATCATCTAACTTTTGATTAATAATCATAAAATTCCCAACTCTTTTCTGGAGATGATCTGAAATATATGTCGGATCCTCCAGTTCTCGTATTGATTACTTTTAGGCCTCTAATTATTACTGTATGAAATGCTTAATAGTAATGGTAAGTTATAAGTTCAAGATGGTGATTTGTTCAAATAGGCGTAAGCACTATATTTAAGTGTCCTTCTGAAAGCATTATGACCACAAAGCAAACTGTATTGAACATTTTATTTCTTCACTATTCAGAAAGTATTATTTTCACTTTTGTCATATTCACACATGTAAGTGTTTGTTGCTGTAATGAATTCCATTCCAAGTTTGAAATTTTCTCTTACCTCGGCAGATTCCGTTCCACTGTGTTTTAAAGTGGAAATCGTCCTTCTAACTAATGATTCTAAATCACCTCTATGTCCATTCATTCTTGATTCAAGATTTGGTGCTTGTTTCTTAGCTGAATAATAACGACGTTTCCATTCATCTCGAGCTAAAATATTAATTTACAGATAATTATTTAATTCTTTTCGATTGGTAAAACAATAAGGAAAAACCATTGAATAGTTTTAAGTTCAAGCATACTTGTCACTTCAAGTAATATTAATTAATTCATCTAGAAAAGAAAATTAATTTGAGTGTACCTTGATTTCATGCTGAGATTCTTTTGGTAACGGAAATGATAATCAATAATTTGTCATTATTTTTACCTACTGTGCTTGCAAAAAAATGATTTTCCTATTTCTGGAATAAACATATCTTTGCAACGATGATTAAGTAGTTTGAAATATAAGAATCTAATGTGTGAAATAATGTTTTTTGCTTGTACATCTAAATGAATATGCTGAAAATCAATTTCCGTCAAGACTTAGCCGTCTAGAAACAATTCACTCACTGTGAGGCTTGAAGGTTCTTTGATTTATCAGTAATAGGATAGTGAATTTGAAGGAAAATGTATCCAGTGATCACCTGTATTCATTGGTTGTCTAAATAGAATCATTCCGTAATATAAAGTACAATTATGCTTATTTGGACTTTGATGTTTTATTTTACTGATTAATCCATTATTTTTATCACAAAACAATTAGTCCATCAATAAAATTTCTCTGTAATTGAAAATTTATGTTATTACATCCAAACTTATTGAATTTTATTGGAATTCCCAGGTAAACTTAATGTATTTCAAATCTTTCTAGAGGTTCTCGTAACTAGATCCATAGAAATCGAAACCTTTCATTTAAAAAAGTTAATCACTATTGCATACAAGGTATTCACTCAGTCAAAACTGTTCTTGACTAGATGTTCTAGTAGTAGACCATGATATGTGTAGTCACTTGATTCTCAAATATAACAGTAACTCACTTGTAGGTATTCGATGAAACTTTTGTTACCTAACAAGTGAGGATGTCAATCATTGGGTTTCAGATCAATGTCTTAGGGTATAGTGCTCATTATGAGGTTTGTTCGTATTGATTTCAAGCTAATACAGCGCACACAGCTGAGACGAAAATTTTATTCGTCTACATAAAATCTTTAATATTTCAATAATTGACTTTTGTTCATAGTGGAAAAGGCTTTCAGAGTAATATTTGAGATACCACATACCTTTTCATTCAAATATTGCAGTGAAATTGCTTTCAAAACAAACCCCAGTATTTATATTCCCTTGTTATTTAAGTTTCTTACGGAAAATTAATCATGCATGACTTTGAATATTTACTCCTTACAGTTGAATATACACTGAATGATAAAAAGAATGAAATTTTACTAACGTGAATACATATAATATTTGCGATTTTTCTTTGTGCTAGTTATCTTGGCTATTGTTAATATAATCAAAATTACATTATTGGCAAAGAAAGCAATGTATTCCAATATAGAAAGAATATGTTCGATACTTTTATTGATATCAAATCGTTAAGAGGTGGTATATATAGTTAGAAATTTTAATCGATATTCTCTTCAGGTCCTTTTTATCTATGTAGTCAAACTGATAATCATTTCATAAACTGAGTGTTAATGTGACCTAAGAGTTTATCGAATCGATTGTTTTTTAGTTGGTCATTTCTCTTTTTATTCTCCATGAACAAGATATCAGTTTTAAACTTCATTTCTGAATTAAATAACACTTTCTTATTTTTATAAATTATACCAATTCAAGTAGTGAATTAGTGAGGCTGTAAATGAAAGTTTTTTGTGTGTCATAAAATATGCTGCTAACACTGTAATCATTAAGATGATACAAAATTTTAGACTATTAGTTTAAGATCCTATTGTGATCATAACTAACAACTGTTGTACTATAATTATTATTATTATTAAGCAACACAGAATCATGTGTTGTGTTGCTCATTCAGAATTAGTACACATTCAAAGAATCAAAACAAAACGACTGATCAATAATCATTTTAAAATTTAGGAGATTAGAACATTTGTAATAGAATAAATACTATTACAAACAATAAAATGTAACAATTATTCACATCGGCAATTTACAGTAAATACAATATACATTACACAAGATCTAAATATTATATCTTCATTGTCTAATCGAATAGAAATTTTCAAAATTTAGGTTTTATGCATAAAGTAGATAGAAGAGCGAATAGAAATGAAATATATATATATATATATATATATATATATATATATATAGAGAGAGAGAGAGAGAGAGAAAATAAGTTAAGCATTTTACGACCTTATACTTTGAAACTAGAATTATTTTAAATTAATTTTTATTTTTTTTAACAAAATGAAATCTATGAAATAGAGTACTAAACTAATCAGTTGTGCAAAATGTATTATGCATGAACTAGAATTCAGATAAAACTTACTTCATCCAATGATAAGTATGTACTCAGAAAAATAGAAACAATCGCCTATGAAGTCAACTATGTATGAGTAACACTAACTTATTGATTTCATTGACTAAAAATTATTTTATATGATCAACTGAATGAAGTTTGATATCATATTCGCTTCGGCACATTGAGATCTCAATATCAGTTCAGTATGAAGCTACATTTAAGATCTTTTGAAAAGTTAGACAATATCATGAAATTTTTTCACCCTACTTTTTATTAACCTAGATATTGACTAAAAGTCACTTGCATACTTTATGTAAAGATCAGTAAAATAATTCCTGTTTGAAAGTTATTCTCAAATTTCACTTCTAAACCTATTTAATACATCTCACTCAGACAAGCATGTCAATTTTTATTTTCTAAAATCAATAATAAACATATCATTCATGTTAAAACTTAATTTCACCTTGTGTTCTTCTGGTACCCAAGCTCACATATAAACTGTGCAAACGTTTAACTAATTCTATTCTTCGTTTTTCTGCAGCCAATCGAAGACGTCTTAAACGCTGTAGATTTTCTACATCATCATCTGTATTTTAAAGCAAAAAAACATGTTTTCCATTAATTTAAAGTTAAAGACGAAATTAAGTACATTATATAGTCTTCAACATTTAGATAAAAATGCTAACAACGACTGCTTCACATCATGGTACCAAATAACAGTAACCAATTACCTCAAATAATCTGATTTCATTATTTATCCTCAATCGGTTTATGAATTCACACGATAAAGAATATCGATTTATTGATGAATAGTTAACCAACAACTTGACAAAACTTTGTTTTATTCTCATAGTATTGACAAAGAACAACGATAGGCTTTAAATAATTCTTTGTATTTGAGTAGTAGTCTATTGGACATGATAGTCGATGTTCAAATGATCACGGAGTATATTTCTAATCATTTTCAGAAATAAATTACTTGCAGGTAACCATTTAAATAATAAGGAAAGCCATAATAAATTGAAGCTTCTTATCAATAACTGTAGTATTTCACAGCAATGCCAACCTTTAGTCCCACCAGAGACTGGAACCTGGCCCTTCAGGTATCGTAATGCTTTCTTAACCTTCAGACTAATGAATTGGCTTGCATGTCGAAAATTCTGTTGATTCATGTCATTGTGTGATTTCTATCCATGGCTATCTGGTAATATTTCTTAACCCTCGACATTAATGAACCGTGTCGGTTTTCACTGGTATCTCAACAGAATTCAGTCCATGAAGAAATTCACTTACAAATTTTAATTTTTTCTGTTTGTTATTTATCAATTCTATTATGGATATTCAAATACTGAGTATTCATTCTGGTAATCGTTTTCCAAAGAATGAGGTCTAAGACAGAGTTGGCTGTAAAATGCTGCTGGTCAACAACGGCCTATACCCCATTAGGGATAAAAGACGACAGCAAAAAGTAAGGATATTCATTTGTAATCTTCTGATTTTCATTATTCTTTACTACTCACACATTCAATAAATCTAAAAAGATCTAAGAAAGCATCATTTGTTATTCAATCTTCCGTTCACACTAGTAAAAACTGCCTATTTCCATTATCTTACCTTATTTAAATCTATGATAAATTGATAATTTGTATAGTGTTGTAAAAAACAAAGAGTAAAATGAGCAAAATCTTTGATTAACAATAATGTAGCTTAAATAATCTGAAATATCAGACACAACAACTACATGAAAATTCAGTTAGATTTTATCTTCATGTCCTTGGAATATAATGAAACCATTTGTATGCACTATATATCCTTTAAAAAAGTTTCCATAAAACTGGTCGGAATTTCCTAAATTTACTATTCGAATTTTTATTGATCATTCCAAACTATCTAATTAAACTTTTCATTAAGCATGAAAACAAAAAAAAATTCAATTTAATGTGATATTGTTTTTCATTCTTTACACTAAAGTATAAAGTGTGTGTTTTCAATTGATCAATATCAATATGTAACAACATTAACTTCCTTTTTACAATCTAAATGTGTTTTATTTCATTAACTGTGTAGTATATCATTTAAATAAAGTATACATTTATGTTTCATTTAAATTTTGAATCACACAGTTTATAGTACATTCATTCTGTTTCAAAACAATTTGTTTTCATGATTGTTGTTGTTGTTGTTGTTGTTGTTGAAAAGATTCGTAATTCACAAATGCTCTTTTTTACATGAAATATCATTTGATTTTACTTAGTATAATTGTTAAAATGATTCATATTTCAATTTAATCGAATACTACAGTTAAAATGTAATGCCTAGATCAGCTTTGAAAATATAAGAATCATTCGATTTTAGACAATGATGGTTAATAGTGTCAGACAAAAGGCACGATTCATCTTATTTGTAATATCACAAAATAAAATTTTAAAGAGAAACCGAACGCGCATCCTAAATTATGCTGGTAGCAACCAATAAAATATTTTAATAAACTTGCAATTAAGGTATACCGAGGAGCTTTTCTTTTAATAAACGGTAACAAATCAGTGGATTTATTATATTTGATTCTATACTGAATACTTCAGCTATTTTTCTGTGAATATTTATATTATATTCAGGCATACTAATGATGTCGTATTTTTGGCTAAAATACTTTTGAATATAACTCAATTACAATCCAGAGAGAATCGAACAGTCAACTTTTCCTAGTTCAACTTATCTTACCACCAATGTCAAAGAACATAGAACTTTTTGAACTAAAACCATCAAGATAAAGTTGAATGTCCCATACTTGCAATTTCACTTCATTTATCGTTACCCATAAATCACCATCTTACTAGCAAGAAAAAATATCAGGTTCCCCGCAAGACTTGAAGGTCATAAGTCCGACCTGATTAAAACATTCTTGATTTCTGATTGCTCAAAAATCTCAAACTAAAATAAAATTTTATTTTACCATCTGCTAATCTTCTACAACACTTAAGGTCTTATAAGCTCATAGTGAGATCTCATTATATTATTAAATAATAATCTGCTGTGTTCATATGAGGTCAATAGATATACATAGACAAAATAAGATATAGAACCACACATATAAGCTGACCAGGTAGAACTATCAAAAAAACTAGATCAGTTACCAGTATTGTTATCGTACATACCCATATGTTTTAATAAATCATCTCCATACATTGATACTTAAATATGATATCTTTATAGTTATCATATCTGTATTTGTATATAATCAGTCGTAAAAAAAAACAATGGTTTGTAATGCGTATTGTATCTGTAGATTTAAACTAAAGAATTTTTAACCGCCATCAAAGGTTAAAAAATACAACATTGATTAGTAATAAGACACCAACTAGTATTTGTAGTTAGTATCCTATGTTGACAAATAAAACAATTACCAACATGATTGATATTGTTCGTTTCAGTACATGTCAATAAGATACTGCATTATCTGTATCCTTAACTAATAACTATAACATAGCCTTCTTTATTTTTACTCTATACGTGTACATATGTCTCTGTAATTAAGCATAACAAAACTATATTCATTTGCTTACTTTTCACTCTCACATCAAATCTATCTGTCACAAGGTATAGTGATTAACAATAAAGGTTGTTTAATAATCATGATAATAATAAGTAGTTTCTTCTCTTAATTAGATTGTTGTTTTAAATGTGTACTTGTTTACTGGTCAGTTTCATACACAAATCCTCCAATATCAAATACTGAGAAATCGACAACAATCGATTCTTTAAATCAACCAAAACAATTAACGTGAATATAAATCAATAATAAATTTTCTTGAAAACAAGTAATTCTGTTCTTGATAATATGAGAAAAAAATCAATTAAAATATTGATTTTAATACAATGATTTTGATGTTATTTCGTTTCTCTCACCAAAATAATTTGGCGATGTTTATGATGTCAGTGTATACAACTAGCTTTTAGTAATACTATTCGCAATAGATTTATTTGAATTAACTAATTATCGATATTGTTAATGATTGAATGTTGACTTAAGAAATATATTAGTTATCGTAAATTAACAATGAGTTGCTAATGTTCTATTGAAGAGTTTTGACTATATATTAGTTATCGTAAATTAACGATGAGTTGCTAATGTTCTATTGAAGAGTTTTGACTAATGGAGTTGATTGTAATCGGTAATCGGGGCCATGAGTCTCTAAAATCTTCAAGTTTCGTGCGGAAAATTAAACGTTGGTGTAATGAACAAGTGTTCTATCTTAAATGTAAACTCTGAAATAACTTTCATTCTAAGGTCATCGAGAACTCTTAACCGTTTTTCCTGCAGTTATACACAAAACGTTCTCGTGATAAAACTTGCATCTTCTTTCTCGCATTAATTTAGTGGGGACAGGATAATTTCCCATCAATGATTTCATGAATCAATATTGACATTGTTTTATCTAAATTTGTAAATAAATAAATAAATATTTCCTGTTCGTATGTTTTTGTTTTCTTCTGTACACCAGGCCAAGTATACTATCCATAATTCTTAATTTGTTATAGTGTTTTCTTTATTATAGAGATGAGGTTTCGTTTTAAAATTGCTTGTTTTTTGACTTTTACTGCTTGTGTCGCTAGCTATTTATTTCTTCATAGTAAAACATCTTTTCAAATTTGAAATGTCAAGAAAAACCAGTTGGCAGATAGTGTGACTAATAAAAGGACCAATCACTATTGATGATCATATAATACGAAAATGCTTACTATAAGGTAGTCGATGATGGATTAAAACTGCTGACGGACGCGTTCGAGATGAAGACCAGTGTCAGACAAGATTGCTTACTCTCACCCTTTCTCTTTCTCCTGGTGGTCGACTGGATTATGAAGACGTAAACATCTGGAGGGAAGCACGGGATACGGTAGAAAAACAGGATGCAGCTGGACGATCTGGACTTCGCAGATGGTCTGGCTCCTCTATTGCACATTCAACGACAAATGCAAGAGAAAAGGACCAGTGTAGCAGCAGCCTTAGCAGTGGCATGTCTCAATATACACAAAGGGAAAAGCAAGACTCTCAGATGCAACGCGGCAAGTACAAACCAAATCACTCTTGATGGAGATGATTTGGAGGACATAAAAACATTTATATTATCTGGGCAGCACCACTGATGAGCAAGGTGAACCGATGCAGATGTGATTATACAGATCGGCAAAGCAAGGTCTGCATTTCTACAATTAAACTACATCTGGAACTCCGAACAACTATCAATCAACACCAAAATCAGAATTTTCAATACAAATATCATCAAGTATCCATTAACAGTTGTCTACGCAAAATACTTCGGATTCGTTGGCCGTACACCATCAGCAACAGTCTACTATGGTAGAGAACAAACCAGCTTCCAGGAGGAAATCAGGAAGAAGCAGTGGAAGTGGATAGGACACACTGAGAAAAGCACTCAACTGCATCACAAGACAAGTCCTGACTTGGAACCCTCAAGGTAAAATGAAAGGCGGAAGGCCAAAGAACACATTACGCCGAGAATTAGAGAAAGATATGAGAAGAATGAACAAAAATTGGACAGAACTGGAAATATAAGTCCAGGGCAGAGTAGGCTGGAGGACACTATTCCACGGCCTATGCTCCATTGGAGGTAAAAGGAGTAAATAAGTAATAAGGTAGTCGATTTTGATAAAGACATCAGTCCCAGTGATTATTCATGGTTTGAATATAGCTATGAAACTAGGTGATATGGACTCAAGTACATCAGTTCAGATAAGATTGGAGATATATTTTGTTGACGATTTCTAGCTAGCAGGCTATCTACGTCCAAAGTATTCTAATAATTGTCCTCAACCACCCACTCACAATGTTTACTGCAGTTCTATAATCGTATATGACAGTTAATTTTCTTCTCTGAAGAGAAGAAATAATAAGGTGAATTATATTCAGATTCACCATTTCAATAACAGTTCAGCTTATTTTTTGGTTTCTCATCTAGAGATTACAATGTTCAGACATGTGGATAGGTGAGAGAAAACATGTTATAACATAACTGACTTATTGAAATCAATCATATCAGATTAAGCAATTCACTTAGCAATATGGTTAGTTTTAACTAATTTTTTTTACTAAATCACGCACCAAAACTACCTTATATTTAAAGTTGTAATTAAAAGGTTATAGAAGACTTCTTACCAATCACCTAATGATAGTAGGAGTTTAATGTTCAAATAACATGATTGAATTTAGTTAGTAAAAATCTCTGAACCAGTTCACTGTGGTTACTTTTATCCACTGGCTATCTACATTCGAAAAAATGAGTTTTTCATCAAAGGCTACAGTAGGAAACAATCTAGGTTGGAAGTTGTAATCAATGTCCCTTGTGCAAGCTGAAATGAACAATTATTCATCAATTGCGTTACGTCATATTTGGGAATCAAACATCAATTACTATTACATATATGTTCAATACTACTTTGTATGCCCTAAGCATCATACCTAATTGTAAGTAATCACAAAAGTATCAAATTAATATAAATTACGAAGTTAGTGTACACCACGTTTTTTGATCAATAATTTATTTGTGAACAATCGAAAAGTTTGGATATATTTTGTATATTTAAAGAATGCAATAATGATATTTCGATCCGATTATTTGAGCTGAGGGCAACTTACTACACTCCTACAGTTAATGTTTCCACTTGTGTAAGCAATTGATATGAATTATACTGCTATTCTCATAGATCATCAATAAAAAATGTTTCCACTAGACAGAATTTTCAAGAAAGATAATAACATTTAATTACATTATAAATGGATTCAAGAATTTAATAAATGTCGTCAGAATACATGTGTACTCAATCTTTTCTTAAAACGATACAATTTAAATTGTAACAATTAATATCTATCTTTTGTGTGTGAATCGATTAAAACAACGAAATCATAGAAAATGAACTTTTATTATAAATAAAAAGAAAATTATTTTAAACTTACCAGAATCCATTTGAACCATACGTTTTTTGATCTGAAAAGCAATTCACCAAATAAATTTAAAAAAGTCTAACATTTCGGAATGAATAAAACTGACTATTTCTCGTTGGGAATTAAGAACAAGCGATGACAGGTGCATTCATTATATGCACCGATTTATATATATATATCTTCAATTACTTCATTCAATGATTTTGATGAATTTATCGTAGCCTGACAGTTGAGTAAATCTAATGTTCAACTTCAAACTTATGCAAAAAATGTCGAAACATGAATCGATTTTAATTGTTCGAATCACTGACAACCATTATAAAACAATAAGCATTGGATAGCTTTTTCATTCTACCCCATAGAAATCATTAGCAGTGGCTACCCACGATTAAACTGGTGGTTGAAATAAAAACTCTCATGTTTGATTGCATCATTGCCATCAGTAATATTTTTCTCACTGTTAGAACTGCTGAACTGCACTGGTCATTACTTCCTACCAGAACTTTTGGGATTTTCACTCGAATTTACTCACTGGTAAACGTATTATTATAATTAATACCATAGGCGTTCGCGAAGATTGTAGTACATATCACGAACTGATCTTACTGTACTTGTGTAAATCGTTTGTCATTATTGAGCTAAGATCGTCTAAAATCTAAACACCCACTGTAAGACCTAAGGTTTTTTGGTGCGATCAATACGATCGTGAATGAGCTCTGCTGATGAGCCATGTATTAAGCTAAAACAACTGTTCAATGCTCCATGGCTTTCACTAATTATCCTAAATAAGATCAGTTCATAATCGAAATCATTATATACAACAGTTCGCCTGAAATCTTATGCTAATAATAAATCAACTCACTAATTATGCATCTTTTCCAATATCAAACAGTTTTGTAATCTAGACTTTCTCAACTGCGCGACACTTAGACTGAATAAAATATTTTAACTACGTTTTAAGTTATAATAAATAAAAGAATTTAGGATTTATATTCCATAAATTATTAATTATTATTAATTTATTACTAATAAGCAAGATAAAGATATATCCCACATTAATTATTACACAGCTACGGTACAGTTGTTGATTGCATTGTATATCAGTAAGTTTTCAATATTTTATTCCTGAAATTCGGTATGACTGTGAAATTTCCAAAAAGATCTAAAAAACATATCTAATTTTAACTTGTGCGCAAAAAAACTCAAGCATATAGAGCAATTTTCTTGCTTAGTCTAATTGCTTTAAATCAAAAAACAGTTAAAAATGATACGACTAGCTAAAGAAAGACGGCTGATTATTGACTTAAGTACTCGATTTTCATCCATTTTATATCTCACGTTTAAATGTCGTCACTTTATGTGTTTCGCGTTTCAAGAAACCATGGCATAAAAGTTTGTGACCTAGAACTTGTACTTGATCATTGGTTTGATGAGTCGTTATTTTGAAGGGGAAAACAACAACATAGAAGTTTGGACGAAACTAAAGATAATGATCTTCCAACCTACACTTAAGTGATATATTTGAACCATGGTAAAATATGATTTGAACTGTCTTATTTAAATTATTTTGATCATAATTTTGGTAAAATTATAATGTTAATAAACGGATGATAAAATTTCATAAATTATAGTCAATATTTGTTTGTTTAGACTTTGGTTGACAGAGTGATTCATTTTAATGACGATTACACATTTGAAATAAATCAATGGTACTGATACAACAATTTCATTAAGACAAGAACAATTGATTGATAGGTAAGTAGTAGAAATAGAGGAGTTTCAATGTTTCGGAAAATTATTTAGTGATTTGTTTTAATCAAACAATAAATTTGATTAGTTTCAATATATTTTTATGTTATGTTATGATAAATGAAGATCTATCCATTCTTAACTTGTTTGCATACCGAAATTTTAGAAATCATTTGTCATTCATTTAGTGTAACTATTAAATTTAACTATTTACCACATTATGTTTATGTAAAATGCAAGTGTAATACATAAATTCAAACAAGTGTTCATTTAAATCTATCTATAAGAAAGAATTGGTTTATGGTTAAATAGAAGATTTGTAATTACTGAAATATTGGTAACAGTAATCGATCTAGATGGGTTTTTTTTTCAAAATCCACTCAGTTTAAATAGAGTTTTCGGCATAAACATGGATGATGTGAAGAATCATGGAAAGTGATAGATAAATGTTTAGTTCTAAAATCAGAGCACATCAAAACCAAAAATATTCAATCCACTGTTGTCCCAGATTATCAACTATTTGGTTTGAAGTAGCCGTTTGAATTATGACTCTTATCCAAATGAACTATTTTGGTTACTAACATCAATAAAATCACTATTTTAACGAAGATATATTCGTTTAATTTTATAGGAATAGGATATTTTGAAATCTGTGGTAAAAAAAATGAATTTATTGAAGCATAAAATTATTTGAAATATAGATTCTGAGGTCATTCAACGGAGAATGAAATCAGTTTCAGTCCAAAACTTTGAATCTTGAATTCGCAAATCAAGGTACAGTGTTTCGAAAACTTATTTACTTCCGTAGATTCTAATATCCTTACTTTGATTGTAAAGATTAGTTCACTTTGAATGTAATTTTTGCCATAATATCATACATTTTAGGTTGTGTTTGGAGACCAGATGGAGCTGTATATCTGTTCAACTTAGCATAGGAGATTTACTGGAGTTCAGAATTGAGAAAACTTGTATTTGAATGAATCACCCGTCCAGTACTGTACAGTTTTCAGTGACATCTCATTTTCTATCTTTTTTTAAAACTAAAACCACATAGAAATCCTCCTGAAATTCTTTTCCTCTTCTCCAATTGGATATTCCTGTTAACAATTATGGTTTTAATTTAAAGTTTTAATGTCAGGAAAAATCGTGATTACTTTGTATTTATAAGCTTATTATTTACCCGTTGATGATGAAAGTATAAATGATCTAATTTTAATATTATTTTGCAATAAAATTAGCTTCACATTCATTCTGACTTCCAACATCAGTATAGACAATATATCACCTAATTCAATTTGACTAATAACCAAGATAAATGGTTATGGACAGAATGATAACTGAGGTGTTCATTGAATCACCCTTTTGTCTGTCAATCGATAGCAATCACTCTGAATTTTAGTGATCATAGGTTGACTGTTTATAAATGTGGCTTGATATAAAAATTAAATTAATCTAGTAATTCACATTCATTTCAATCTAAATAAAAGCTCATTTCAATTCTGGTAGATTTCTAATTTAAATTATGATTAGAACAACAACGACATGGACATATAATTAAAAATATTTCATCCGTGTATTTATGTATGACGCCAATAACAAAATGTCCAACCTCTAGGTTAATTATTATTCCTGGAAAAAATTCTTGAGAAAACCTTTGGTATGGAAAATAATAAATGTCCCATATATATATATATATATATATATATATATATATATATATATATATATATATATATGTTTGGTAGTAATCGCAGAAAATGTTAACTAATTTATTTAAAAACAACTAAAATATGAAGCAATAAAATACAGTACATATTTATGACTGGAATTATTCACTTTTTTGGTTGGTAAAAGTTCCAGGATTGTTTGGGTAATTGGATAGGATAAGTTCTGTCTAAAATGTAAATGATTTTCTCAGTTAACTACCTTTATTTACTTTGCAAATTAATGAATGAAGAGAAGAATATTTGTATCAAATACTTAGAATAATTAATACAGACTAATTTTCCAACTCAAATTCGAACTAACTTAGATTCCTTTGTTAATGATCAGTATTACTTACAAAGTATATAATGTATGAATGACCACCGTGTAAATGCGCTGATCTATCTCTATGTGAAAATTTTAGTACACCTTATCCAATCTATGGTAGTTCACAGTTTGCATTAATCAATGGGCTAGGTATTTATTACCACACTAACTGACAAAAGGTTTCTAGTTTATACAATTAAGTGTATTCAGCATTTTTCTAGATAGGATTTTTCGATCTAACCAGGCTTCGTTGGACTAGAGATCATCAACGACCAAGTTTAGATGTGTTTAGACTAGTTCTTTTGTCCGGGCAGATAGAGTGAAGGATAATATATTTTTACATAGATCCTCTTGAGGATATTTTATTGGCCCAGAATCTAACTTCGATTTAAACGAACAATTAATTATGTTATAAAATAAATTTGCCCTTAGATTTTCCCATATCATTCATAGGCGAACCCCGTGTGTACGACGGCGTTAATCAAAAGCTCAATGCAGTTCTGCGGATGAACTTATTTCCTACAGTCATTTGAGCAGGTAAACAATAAAAAGAATCGTGAAACTGAATCGAATCAAAATGAAGCGGAGGAAGATGGGCCACTTAATTCGATGATGCATGACTAAGTATTTAAAGTTCTGTAAAAAAAAAAAGTAAGCTAAATATGTAATATGCGAAGTAAGCAATGCTCAACGCTCTCAAATCAAGCAAGGTTATAAGCGAATAATTAACAAGGTTGAAAGAAGTGTGAATAATAATTCGAGTATGGTTAGTCGGCATATCCAAAAGCCAGAACAAGTCACATGGGCTCAGCATACTAGCACAGAATATAATATTTTTGGCCTATCCTGACAGTAATAATTACTAACATGTTTTCGTAATTTTGCATTCATCAAATGTTTTTACAATCTAATAGGTATGCTTTTATATAACAAGACAGGATATACCTTAGTTTTTGCTCAAGAAAATAAGTAAAATTTAATATAGAAAATTTTATTTTGTCGATTATCATTTACAAGCTTAACAATCGCATTTCTAGTTGATTAGTAAATGTTAACCTGAAATAAAATAGAAAAATATTGCATCATTCAAAATGTAATTGAAGGTGTTTTCAAGCATCTAGAAGTTATGTAATAGACTAATTTAAAAATATATTTCAATTGAAAGATAATACTCAACTTGAAGAATATTAGGAATCTGTAAATACAGAATAATACTGTGACATAACTTATGAGGACATATAGAACAAAAGTTATTTAATGATC